TGGGAAAACAAACCCGCCTGTGATTTACAGAGGTCCTGATGCAGCGGGAAAGTTCCTAGAATATCTACAAAATGAAGATAGAATAATCAGGGAAAATTTATCGCGTAAGAAACCCATGTGTATGACGAGGGATAATTGGAGGGCTTATAAGAGGTCAACGAGTTATCATGTTTGTAATAAACCCCTGAATGGGGATTCCGTAAGAAATCATTGCCACGTCACGGGTAATTATCGGGGAGCCCGCATAACGAGTGTAACTTGAAACTAAAAATGAATTCTCAAACAATACCCATCCCCGTTGTGTTTCATAACCTTAGGGGATACGATTCACATCTCATTAGGCAAGCTATCTCAAAGACCGACGGTGGCTTAATGTGCATTCCTAATAATATAAAATAAATATCATTCTCGTTGACTAAAACTATACATTATAGAGACAAGGATGGGAAAGCCAGAATAAAACAAAGTAATGGGCTTAGATTCATAGACTCCATACAGTTTCTGTTATCTTCCCTGGACAATTTAGCTAATGCGAACAATCCCGATGACTTTGCGATAACAAATCAATATACCGATAGGTTAACTCGTCATTTGTTGCTGAGAAAGGTGTATATCCTTAGGAATATATGGATGATTGGTCTAGATTCGACGAAACTAAATTACCACCCCTTGAATCATTCTATAGTAACTTAACAGAATCTAAAACAACAGATGCCGATTATGAACACGCTCTGAAGGTGTGGGATAAATTAGGTTGTAAGAATTTAGGCGATTATCACGATCTGTACTTAAAAACCAATGTACTGTTACTCGCCGATATATTGAGATATTTAGAAAGACATGTTGACTTGGAATATCCAAATTCGTTACATAAAGACCATAACAGTTATCTGCTAGCTCACGAAAGATTAATGGTTAATAAAGATTGGATGTCGGAATATCAACACTCCTTGATGGGTAATACAAGGTTAGCTAACGTAGAAAAACTCGTACCAAATCTGATGGATAAGACAAAATCTATAGTTCACTACAGAAATCTCCAGTTATATCTATCGTTAGGTATGAAACTTAAGAAAAAATACACAGAGTTCTAAAGTTTGATCAAAGCCCTTGGATGGAGCCCTATATAAGGTTGAACACAGATTTAAGAAAGATAGCTACCAGCGATTTTGAAAAGAATCTATATAAGCTCATGAATAATTCAGTATTTGGTAAAACTATGGAGAATCTAAGGAAGCGTGTTGATGTTAAATTAGTCAGATCTAATGAGGAAGAAAGACTCAGGAAACTTATAGCCAGTCCGGCTTTTAACAGAAGCAAGATATTCGATAACCACTTAGCCGCGTTGCATATGCAGAAGAGTAATATAAAATTCAACAGACCGGTGTATGTTGGTATGAGTATTCTCGACTTGTCAAAACACTTAATGTATGACTTTTATTACAACAAACTTAAGAAGCAATACGGTGATAGATGCAAGGTGTTATATACCAACACAGATTCCTTGTTGATGGAAATACAAACCGAGGATGTGTATAAAGATATGGCAGAAAAAATAGATATTACGACACGAGCGATTACCCAAAAGATAATCCACTGCACAGCGTTGTAAATAAAAAGGTGTTAGGTAAGATGAAGGATGAATGTGATGGGACTCCTATAGCAGAGTATGTCGGATTAAGACCTAAGATGTATTCTATAAAGAAGTCCTATAATGGAGAGATAAGAAAAGCTAAGGGTGCTAAGAAGTATGTGGTAAAAAGCATATCAAACACGAACAGTATAAAGAAGCATTATTCAACGGTAGAACGTTCAAACATGAAATGAACTCTTTAAGAAGTTACACTCATAGGATATATGGATTAAGAATGAACAAGACATCATTATCCCCCTTAGATGTAAAGAGATGGATTGATAAGGATGGTGTAACTACCTATGCTTATGGTTATGGTGTTAATACTGTATAGTTGGGAACTATGAGCAACTCTTCTCGTACAAATCCCCTGCCTGGTCCATCTTTAAGATAATGTAGAATAGGCTCTCCTTCTTTCATAACCAACTGACTAATGGCATATATCTTAAGAGACCAAATCGGATCGGTTGCGCGACGTAGGCCTCCTTCGAGTTCACCGGGCCGGTAAAAATATCTTACGCTTACTCTATCCGGAAGTGTTTGTTCTTTGCCTTTCCTCGGTGCTGAAGATTCAGAAGTCACAGATTTCATTTTAATCGCATCGGATGGTTTCTTCCCGATTAATCTCATTACTTCATTATTCAGCGCTGATACAACAGCTGATAATCGTGTCACCCATTCGGTTGATCTTAATCGTTCTGATTTCATTTCATTCCCATACTGATAGCCAAACAAACGTTCCGCTAATGTCCGGTTAAATCTTTCAACGATAGCTTGACTATGGTGGGCCTCTTTTTCACCATGCCTGATTGTGACATCGTGCTTTGTTAACAGTTTAGTTACCGATCCCATAAACTTGCGACCGGGATCTACTTGAAATAACTTGGGCCATTTTAGTGGTCCGCATTTATGTATGTGGCTCAGTGCATCAGCTACTTCTGTTGAATCTTTCAAGGTTAACGGTTCAGCCTCCTTGTAGCAACAAGCCACATCCACTACGGTTAAAGCGTATTTATACGTTTTGCGTCTTACCTTATCATGGGGAAGAAAGAAGAGGTCAGCCTGATGAACTTCATTCGTTGTAAAAATATCAAACTTCTTCCTCGGGATATAATGCGGTGCCGGTAAGTATATTTGCCACATCGCTTGTTTCTTTAGCCAATCCTTGGCAACATCTTTAGATACCGTAGCTGCAGTGGCTAATTTTTGTATTGCTCCTATACCTTTCCAATATCCTAGTGGGCTATAGTAAATTTTATTCATTTTTAATTAATATTGATGATTCTTTTAATACGAATCATGACGATCGTTGAATCGCATCATCATTTTTGCATAAAAGTTCCCTCTGTAGTAACACTATTGGGTATAAATCTGGCTCCAGTGGAAGTGAGCCAGAATCCCCATCATCTATACTACTCTTTGTGCCAAGTTTGGTTAAGATATCTCTCATGGTTTTTGTGTTCTGCTCCGGAAACGAAATGTGACGGACGGTTGGATGGCACCCATTCCTATATCCCCCTTCCACTTCATGGCAGGGGATACGAATCCTTAAAAAGCAAAAGGCACAAGTTGACAACCTGGTCTTTGCGTGTGCACAGTTTCATAAAAGAATACCTATTACTTTTAGAGACATGGTCCAGGCAAACACTCCTTTGTGAACAGAGTCAAAATCAAACTTGTTGCCATGGAAAACATTAATTTTAAACACCCCTAAGTACAAAAAGGCAACATTTGACAACCTGGTCTTTGTGTGTGCAAAGTGGTCGAAGAGATATGGTCTGGACAAACACAACACTATGAACAGAATCAAAGTTAAAATTGTTGCCAACGAAAGATGAAAAATATAACTTTTTAAAATTCCTAAATAGCAAAAGGCACCACTTCAACCCCTGATTAATAGATGTACCAAGTCTGGATGAGAAATGTTGAATAGTTTTTTAGTTCTGCTCTGGAACAACACCTACCTCCGTTTCAGCTAAGTCTAACTTCTTTCCATGGAAACAGGGGAAAATCAAATTTTGAAAAATTCCAAAATAGCAAGGGGTACCACTTCAGGTCTTGGTTAATACATGTACCAGGTTTGGCTGAAAAATCTTTCATTGTTTTCAAATTGTGCTCCAGAAATACAAAGTCTAAATTGTTTCCATAGAAAATTTAGAAAAATAAAAAGCACCCACCCAAATAGCAAAAGGCACTATTTCAGGATCTGTTTGATATATCTGCCAAGTTTTGTTGAAAAATATTGAACTGTTTTCAAGTTGTGCTCCGGAAACGAAACAATTATGGACAGTCGATGGTGTATGGACAGTCGATGGTGTATGGACAGTCTATGGTGTATGGACAGTCGATGGTGTATGGACAATCTGTGGTGTATGGACAGTCGATGGTGTATGGACAGTCGATGGTGTATGGACAGTCGATGGTGTATGGACAGTCGATGGTGTATTGACAGTCGATGGTGTATTGACAGTCGATGATGTATGGACAGTCGATGGTGTATGGACAGTCGACGGTGTATGGACAATCTGTGGTGTATGGACAGTCGATGGTGTATGGACAATCTGTGGTGTATGGACAGTCGATGGTGTATGGACAGTCGATGGTGTATGGACAGTCGATGGTGTATGGACAGTCGATGGTGTATTGACAGTCGATGGTGTATTGACAGTCGATGATGTATGGACAGTCGATGGTGTATGGACAGTCGACGGTGTATGGACAATCTGTGGTGTATGGACAGTCGATGGTGTATGGACAATCTGTGGTGTATGGACAGTCGATGGTGTATGGACAGTCGATGGTGTATGGACAGTCGATGGTGTATGGACAGTCGATGGTGTATTGACAGTCGATGGTGTATTGACAGTCGATGATGTATGGACAGTCGATGGTGTATGGACAGTCGACGGTGGATGGACAGTCGATGGTGTATGGACAGTCGATGGTGTATTGACAGTCGATGGTGTATTGACAGTCGATGATATATGGACAGTCGATGGTGTATGGACAGTCGACGGTGGATGGACAGTCGATGGTGTATGGGCAATCTGTGGTGTATGGACAGTCGATGGTGTATGGGCAATCTGTGGTGTATGGACAGTTGATGGTGTATGGGCAATCTGTGGTGTATGGACAGTCGATGGTGTATCGGCAATCTGTGGTGTATGGACAGTCGATGATGTATGGACAGTCGATGGTGTATCAGACAGTATGGACAGTCGATGATGTATGGACAGTCGATGGTGTATGGACAGTCTATGGTGTATGGACAGTCGATGGTGTATGGACAGTCTATGGTGTATGGACAGATGAACAGATACAGGAATTCCGTTCAGGAATGATTATTAAAATTTCAACACTACGATACCTGAACTTGGTCATATCAACCAGCTTGTTCTCTTTGACACAGCACAGCACAAATTCTGATTTGATAAAACCACCCGTCGTCACAGAACCTCCTGGTTCCAGTAATCTGCAATACAACGTCAAGTGTAGTGATATCAGTATTAACATAATCACACCACACCACATCTATATACATGTTCATACTAAATTGCAAGTGATACCATGACATTTAATTGGCTAACCATGCAATGTTTTGTTGTGTTTGTTTCCTGATAATAATAGGGTCATCATAAAAACAAAAAAAAACATAACAAAAATAAAAATCCAAAAATCATCAAAAGGCACCAGTTCACCACAAGACTGATCTGTAAAAGCAAGTTTCATCTAGAAATAGCACTGCCCTCATTTCCAGTTTAAGTCCAACTTGTTGTCATTAAAATAAATAGAAATAAAATGAAATAATAATAATAATCCTAAATCATCAAGAGGCAGCAGATCACCACTAGACTGATCTGTATAGGAACTTTCAACAAGAAATATTTAACAGTTTAGGAGCTCTTCTCTGGAAACAGAAAACAGACAGCGAATGGATGGATGGACATTCTGATCACTATTTCCCTGTTTCCCAAACTGCATGTTTTGTTTTTGCAAAAAGCCTGCTGTAATTTCACGTAATTACTGTATTCGACGTAATAAGCCCCCGGCTCTTATAAGCGCCCACGTCGACATTTGCTAATATATTGGCTAGTGAACAATCCCAATTAGCACCCCTTCCGATTGATCAATGTACACAAGACTTATTTATTCGCGTATAATACACACTCGTGTGTTATATGCACCTTAAATTATGGGCAATTAAATTCTGGAAAAATATATCTGTCGTACATAAACACTTCAGGCTGTCAGCATATACCACAAAATTTATCTTTCAACTCTAGTTTTTTTCCACCAAAATAGTATTCTAATAAGAGCCCACTACTTCTAATTTTGAGAGCGCCCTGGGCGCATATTACGTCAAATACGGTAGGTCAATTTTCATTTAAAAAGTTACTGGTACCTGTATCAAATTCATCTGAAACTATCATCGAATCAACAGATGTACCACTGCATTCTGATTTGAAAACAGTTGAAAGATTACTTTTTAAAGTCCATAATATGAATGAGACTTGTCAAGACATGCCATAACCGATTCTTGACAGTGAGTGATGGCAAATACAAGCAACCCACCAGGCAAGTACTGAAACTTTACTCTGATTGGCCCTCACGAGATTTGGTTTGGTTTGGTTTGTTGTTTTACGCCGCACTCAGCAATATTACAGCTATATGACGGCGGCCTGTAAATAATCGAGTCTGGACCAGACAATCCAGTGATTAATAGTGAGTGAGTAGGGTTTTACGCCGCTTTTAGCAATATTCCAGCAATATCACGGCGGGGGACACCAGAAATGGGCTTCACACATTGTACCCATGTCGGGAATCGAACCCGGGTTTTCGGCGTGACGAGCGAACGCTTTAACCACTAGGCTACCCGACCGCCCGCAGTGATTAATATCTTGAGCATTGATCCACACAATTGGGATCGATAACATGCATCAACCAAGTCAGCGAGCCTGACCACCCGATCCTGTTAGTCGCCAGGCGCCTTTTACGACAAGCATAGTCGCCTTTTACGGCAAGCATGGGTTGCTGAAGACCTATTTTACAAAGTTCCACTGTTATAACTGAGGATGAACTTCTACAATCATGGAAAGAATTTGTGCGGCATGTTTACCTGGTTACAATATGTAAATATATGCAATAATATCTGGAACTCACTTGATGCAAGTTTTGGTTTGTTTGCTTGATACACTGCCACCACCATGCTGTAATTAAAGATATTTATACATATTGACAACTTCACCAAATGATACATAAATGTTTTGATTACAGAGAAATTCTGCTTATCCATAGAGTAAAGTTCAAAGTTAAAGCATCTGGATTGTGTGTTAATGTCACGACAATCTATTAAAAATTACTAATATGTGTAACCCAAAGATTTATTTAACATTGAAACAGTCTGTGCCAAAACTTTTTGTGAATCAACTAGCCTGAACTTATCCTTCTGCATCCCTTCCAGATTTCATATCTTATGTATGGGCTGGCATTGGCTATGCTTACTGGAACGAAGGACACTCAGCTATTTTCGAAAATTGATTAAAAACTGAACAGATTTCAGAAAGACTTCCGCCCGTATCCAACCACCAAAAGTTGTATGTGTATGCATTGCTGCTCAATCCTTTTAGTTCAATATATTTTTTAAGGTGGGATATGGGTGAAAGTCTTCCAGATTTCCTCAAATGACATTGTACTTATTTGATAGATAGGCCACATATAACCCTGAGGATCGATAAGGGGTTCCTCGGCCAACCCAACGGATCGCAAAGGGGTGTTTGATCGGCAAGATGTGTCCGACCCTCAGGATCCTGAAGGGTAGATCTATTCGATCAGAAAGAGGTACCTAACTCTTATCGTCGTAAAGGGGATTCAGTGGGTACGGATAGAATCTACCACAATCCTAACAATCGAAGAGGCACGCGATATCCGTGAAGCGAGCGAGTGTCACAGCCGTCAGCCTGAGCCAAATAGGGACCTAACGCTCAATAAGATGAACCGGGTAAACTGCAATGTTGCCGCTTTTGACAGTTGAATTCGTGCAAGGAACCTTTGACTAAGACCTTGTGACTGGTGCATGCACAGACGAAACTATATTTTTTAGCCTACATGTTACCCAAGAGCCGCAATGTGGTCAGACAATGTGGACCCTAACCCTACATTGTGACTTGACTGTCGGGACCACATCGCGGCTCTCGGCTGACATGTAGGCAAAACAAATATAAGTATCTGTGGTGAAATCATAATAACACAGGCGTGTTTCCATTACTTCTATCATTGGCTTCAACCTTTTTCTTTCGGAACATGGTCGCATATAAAACGTGACTGGGTGACCATTCTCTGATATGAACAAAGTGCGACTGAATTTGAAGTTTTCTGCCGCCATATCTGAGAAGGGGTAGTTAAAAAGTATTCCCAGAAACACGAACACATGTTCTCTCTATCCTGGTCTTAAGACAGATTGCACATAATGATGTGAGCAATTGTAAATTACAAAATTCTGTATTTCGGCTCTTAGAATATTCAAAGTAAGGCTTATATGCTAAATAGATTAAAAGCTATGATTATTTCATTTCGTTCATTAGTTCGTATATTGTAACATTGACATTTTAACAAACTCTGTGCATTGCGCTTTGCTTTTGATGAAGACAAATTTAATGTTTACAGTAATAGTTGGATTGTAGAGGGAATACCACCTTGTAGCAATTGAACGGCAAAAATCCTTACTTTTATGCAAATCCACGCACATGCACAGTAGTAGTATTACACAGTCAATATCTATGTGTGGAGCTTCTGTCAAGTTCAGCCGGAAGTTGAGGAGGTCGCTTACCTATCGGGCTGAAACGAGAAGCCGACCGAATATAGCAAGGACTGTGTGTTCTGGTCTGAAGTGTGTTGTTCAAAGATGGGCGAGTCGATGGGAGATCCAAGAATGCGACACTTTGTCGAACAAGAGACCCAGAAACAACGATTCCAGCAACTTGTTCATGGCTTGACAGACAAATGTTTTGAAATGTGTGTTGACAAACCCGGACAGAAACTGGACTCCAGAACAGAAACATGTATGGTTAACTGTGTTGAGAGGTTCATAGATACAACTAACTATGTTGTAAACAGACTTGAAAACACAAGGAGCTCAACGGGAGATTAGAACTGATGATTATACGGGGATGTGACGAATTTGGTGGTCGTATCTGTCTGATAATGTCAACTTACATGCTGCATCGGACAGTAATTTAGAGAGACATATGGTCTCTGTCTACAAATAGACAATCTACCAATTATGCAAGATGGTCATAATCTGAAATGAACCTGTCTGTAAACACCATATCTTGTTCATAATCTTTTGTCATAGAATAAAACCTTATGAGTGTATGACTTTGTTGTTTGTATCCTTATGTTTTAGATATAGGCCTAGGACAAATGTTAAATTAAGCTCTGTAGCATGATGCAGTTTCTCATGTCTGGCATGTCAGAGGCTGAATTTTTCCAATATTTATAAATAATTTGAGAAGTTCCAAATCAGAATGACCGAATGTCTGTATACATGGTATAATTTTATGAATATGTAGCTGTTGACTAGTATTTGCTTTGTGAATTTTCTGCAGGCCTCAATGTTTAATTTTTTAACCAGTAGCCATATGGCTACCAGTATTTTTTATCATGTAGCCAGTGGTAAAATCAACAAGACAAGCCCAAATGTAAAGTAGCTAAATAGTTTTGAAATTATCTTTTATCAAATAACTATTATAATATGTACAAGATGACAGACTAGACTAGATGACATAGGTATATCCTTGCTTATCCAGTGAGCATTGTCAACTAAAATAAAATGGTAATTACATTATAATTATGTATTTCTGACATTGTCGACTTAAGGAGGAATTATTCGCGAGTATGGTTATTATTAGCAGACATGTTTTCGACGATCTGCTGTTCTTTTCATTGGCATGCAGAAGACAACAATCTGTCATTAACAGATTTCTATATAGGTCTTCGACAATGTGTTTAGATCATAACTGAATATATTCAAAGTGATAAGACATTAAAAGCCAAAACCGTTCTTGTAAATGGTGTTACCATTTCATTATGCAATCAATATTTTTCCAGGTTCACTCTTTTGTTAAATTAGCAACAATAAAATAATTTAGTTCCCGCAAAAGGCGCTCAGCAACATGAAGAAATACCTCCATTTTTTTAAATTTCGTATGAAAACTCGTTCGTTGAAGACTGTCATATGAGACACCGCTAGACAGCTTGTTTTTTCATCAACACGGTTGTAACATCACCTTCAGTCTTTTCGTATCTGTAACAATACTAACATGGAATTTTATTGGATAAAAATTGGTTTCTAATGTCTACGTATGAAGCAATGGAATTTAGTCGCCACAAGATATTTTTCAAGGTAGCCATTTGACGACCTCTGCATTTTTAGTCAGAAAACAAATTGAAATTTTGGTCGCATGGGCGACTGTTTTAGTCACAACTTTGAGGCCTGATCTGGCGTTGAACATTAGTTTCTTGTAATATTAACTATTCACAATGTCCAGATCAAAGGTTGTTTCACACACTCAACAATGTATGCAATGTTATTTTTGTTGGATTAACAGAAATAGCCACACCTTTATATTTTCTCTTTATTGATGTTTGAGCTGAGGCAGGCAGCTTCCTGACACATCCATGATGCTGCTTAGCATCACAAGATAGATAATATAGTAGACAGATGCTGCAATCAAGTTGGCATATCAGCCACTGAAAACATTTAGTGTTAGGAATATTTTGGGGGGTTTTGCCTGACTTTGACAGCTGTTGCACTTATGTACAAATGGGCGCCATCCCTCCATTACATTATGTGTTCGAAGCAGAACTCGTAAACCATGCAATATTTCTTCATGAAGTGTATACAAATCAGGCATGGACTGAACTTGAGCCTTTTGTTATTCCAAAAGTTTTGTATTTTCTATCTCTTGCATTTTCAGTGCAGCAAGTTGGATTTAATTGAGGGTAATGTTTGTGTCCGGAGCATAACTTATTATCTGTACAATATTTCTTTCTGAAATAAGGTATGCCCGTCAGTCAGCCTCGGTAGTCTGTGGGATAGGGTGGATGTCTGGAGAGCGGAAAGTTGATGGTTCGATCCCAGCCATGTCATCCAAAAGATGTGAAAAGATGGTACTTGTTAGGCGAACAAAAATAAGTCTTGGTTCTCAGGCACCGCCTGCATCATCATTAAGTGTGCTGCACATTTTGTTTTTATTTCCTTTTAAAAACATAAATAAAACAAGAGGCCCAAAGGGTCTGTATCGCTCACCTGGATATTTACACAATCATGACAAATATACGTTTGCATTGTGCATGTACATAATGCTGCAAATATTTCGTAATTTTGACTCGGACAGCATTTAAAATGGGTGCATGGCAAATCGGACTGCATGTACGTGTATTTCTCTTGATACAAATGTAGCATAAAAATCTGAACCGTTTCCATGTTATGATCCAGGATAAATCATGGTACCTAGGGATGCTTCCATCCAAATATGGTTGATATCTATCTCTTTGTTCGAGAGAAGAAGTCGTTTAAAGCAATGTAGCCAAATTACCCCTATTTGGCCCTGCCCCTAAGCCCCTAAAGGGGTTAGCCCCACCATTTGTACAATTTTTAATCTTCACCATCGGAGAATGCTTCCAACCAAATATGGTTGATATCTATCTCTTAGTTCCAGAGAAGTATTTTATAGCAATATAGCCAAATGATGATTTCAGTTGGTTATTTCTGGATAAAAATGTAAGTTTGAGTCCCTAGATGACACCCATAATTCAAAGGTTTAGTGGAAAGTAAACCCTCCACATGCCTGGATAACAGCCTCCACGCTGAGTTTCATCCTTCCAGTCAGAATTTGTGCATACTGAAGGGGCAATTGCAGCCATTCCGGATGCAAAGCTGTTTCCAATTCATGCAGGTTCTATACAGGAGGCTTCAGTGCCTGAAAACAGCTCCAAAGGATGTCCTAGTGGATTCAGATCGAGGAGGTTGTCACAGCTCAGGAACGATGGGATTTGGCGTTATCATCCATGAACTAAGGCCTTGTGGCGAGTGGGTGGTTGTCAAAATGAGTGACAACTGGTTCAAGGACATATTTACTGATTCCGTGTGAGGTTGCTTTGTGTGGTGACCAGGTACGGCTTGCAATCATGTGAGATACAAATCCAAAACATTACCAAGTCATACTAATGGAAACAATGCCCTGTCGTTACACTGTGACATCACATATCCTGTGGATTCTTTACCCCACTGATATCCTCTATTGTTCCATGTTCACAGGGAATGAATTTACATTTAAATGCCCACATTTTAGGCCTGAACATAATGCATTTTGTAGAATGCTGCATGCACATGCCACAAGTATTCCGACATCAATGTCAAACATAAACAGTCCCATCCTTACAAAAACACTATTCTCGTCAGTCACTATTGTCATTACAGTTAACATAAATGGTGATGTTATTGTTGTCTCAGTTATACTTTCCAGGTGTATAAAATAATATATCTAAGAGTTAAGTGTAGACCAGAATCTCTTATTTATGTACAGGCATATATGCTGATGCCCATTTCTTCTTTGTTTACTTACAGGGATGTGAAATCTCCGCGGAAACGCGGAAAATCGCGTTTTTTAAAACAGTAGTCCTCGGAAAAAATCATCTTCCGCGGAAAAAAATATTAAATTAAAAAAAAAAACACTCCGAAAAATATGATCGAAAACCGGACAATTTGCGCGGATTGTCCTGTTTTCGATCGGAGCTTTCACAGCATAGGTTTTCGTACATCATACGTTTTCTGTCACGAATACTTGCACTATAACATGGGGCATGGCGTCACACAGAAATTGTAAATACTCAGAGTCAGCTGATGGCTTGTTTTTAAGATAAAGTTGTCTTTTAGCCTGTAAGTGAATGAGATGTTTTACAGTTGTTCATGTGATAAGCGAGAAATTTATGAATGTTTCTTCAGCGTCCAAAACCCCATGTCATGGGGATATATATTGTATTAATGTCTTATGTTTGCAATGGAGTTTTGTTTTTTTCATCAAAAGGTAAGTACAAGGTAAGTTTTTTTTCAATATGCTTCAACATGGGGAAAGGGTCAGACATTGCACACTTGTGACAGTTGTCCTTGTGTCTGGGGGATGGGGGGTTGAAGTTTATGGCAGTATTGCTCCCAGACCTGGCGGGTAGCCAGGTGCGCGAAAGCTATGCCCGATTTTTTTAAAGTACTGATTTAACTTCGAAATTTTACTGCATCTGCCATCTTGTTTATTTTACTTATTGACTTTTGCCATTGACTTATTACATTTCTTGGTGTGAATGTTGTCCAAACTGCATGAAATTGCTTAAAATGCAATCAAATGTTTTAAAAATTTCTGGCAGACCCCCCAGACCCCCCTAGACTTTTCCTCTTTTTTCGGCAAAACCTGCTCACATCCCTGTACTTATATACATATTTTGACAGGGATTTGATTTTTTCGTTTGAGCAGAAACACCACGTTATTAACCATGACTGATAACTTGGTGCCCCGTCATACATATGTATACAAATAATTTAAAATATATGCAGAAGAAATCTTCCCGAGGCAAGAGAGTAAACTGGCTGTAAAAGTCCAGTTTCCACCCTTGCCGAACTAGGCTGGTATTATGGAGTTACATTTTGGCTGGACTAACGAGTCTATGCATAGTCCAATCAAAATCGCGCACTGAAATCGAAATCCGGTTCGTAAACTGTCGTGCAGATTTTGATCGATTGCAGTATTTGCAAAGCATGTGCACCGCCAACTCGTCAGCAGATATAATTCCAAATCTTTTCATGGTTTTAATCACAGTGCTCATGTGATTTGATGCATTTTGCGATGTAAGACCCGTTTTATCACAATATAGATCTTGATTATCGATGAAATCATCCTGACCGGGCGCCACCATGTTGTGTGATGCAAACGCAAGTGATACGAGAGGTGGCATCTGATTGGTCCATAGGAGAGGCTTAGAAGGGTCATAACTGGTAATAGCCACTGGTGGCGCTACGATCGAGCCCAATAATTCCAGCCTAGTTCGGCAAAGGTGGAAACTGGACTTTTAAAGCCAGTTAACTCTCTTGCCCCTGGAAGATGGCAGAAGACAGCAAACAACTTTTTGGAAGATCTTTACTGTGATCTTGATCTTATAAGTAGGGCACTCATGATCTCTTGAGACCTTGGTCCCACCCTACTGTAACAAGTTTCATTAAGGCTATGACATCTAGGATTACCTTGACAGGACCCATCACCAAAGTGTCAAAGAAATTGCTCAATGCTATTACGAGGATATGGAAACGAATATGCCACGCAAAATTATTGGATGATTTGAAATAGATATGGAAAGGTTTGTGTAAAGATGCACGAAAAGTATAAAAGTACTTACATGAAGGAACATATTAAAAGCCCAAAGGGAGACAATGGTACTTACAAGTAGATAATTGCTGGGTACAATTATTACCTGGAACTTCAACAAATACAATCTGATTATGAGCACTTTGCTAACTTGTCTCCAGTGACCTGTGATGTTGCTTTGACAGGACAGATCAGAAGGGATGTTGGGACAGTGTGAAGTACTAAATACAACAATCTCATTAAAATCAGATCTCAGTTCTCGCTGCCGCTAAACAAAGATCTGAGGACATCCCATAACGGGTCACGTCAGACCGACCTTACGCGAACTCTGACCGACCAATGGAATTACTGACAAGAAGTCGACATTAGCCAATCAGAAGGCAGCTTTCTCGTGCTTTACGGCACTTATTTCAAATTGGCAACTACACTTCGAAAAATTTGAAACCTGATCAAAAGAACATTCTTGAATGGCTAATATATGGTCTAGAATGTATAGAATCAGTCGTTAAACCCGTAACTATCATTCGAAATACTCTGTTTTAAAGTTTTCGAGGCTGCATGATTAGAATTCACATTCCGACTGTCACTTTCATGATCTTGATGAAAGGTCGTTCTGACGTGATCCCTAATAGGATGTCCTCAGACCTTTGTTGAGCGGTAGCGAGAACTAAGATCTGATTTTAATGAGATTGTAAATACAACAAAACAGGATTCTTCAGACAAGATGGAAAATTTATTTCTGCTCATCCATTATGCTATGGTGAAATCAATATTTGCTTTAAAAATCAGGTTATGATCACAGATGAAAACAAAAACAAAAGTAAATAATATAAACAGAGTCGGCAACAACAAATACCTTTGTATTTCATGAAGTTGAAGAGTGGTAATAATGTCCAAGTGTTTACATATATATATGTGTAGCAAAGCAAGATGTGACTACAGTAAGGATAACTAAATCCCATTCATAGACACAGATGCAAAGTCGTCAACAATCTACCAGATTCTGCATTACAATATACTGGTAAGCTTTACAAGACAGTACTATGGACTCAACCTTATAATAGCAAGCCATACCCCTCTGAAGATGCCAATATACAAGCAGCTGTTGCATTGTAAGGTACTAAAGTCATCCCAGCTAACTCTTCTGACTATGATGGTTTATGAGCATAACTAATGAGATACGAAGAATTAGTTTATCTTTCCCATTCACTGGAATTGTCTCAGGATATCTCATTCCCAACCACCTTCGAAATCATAAGCAGCTGTTACTAAAAACAGATGTATCCCAACACAACAAACAGTAAACAAGTGGCCTTGTCATGACTCATGTGATTGTGTTAAATAGCTCACTATTACCATTCAAATTTAGTATACTTGTATCGCTTGCACTTAGACAAAAGGATGAAAAATGTAAGAAACGTGTTATTGCAATTAATTAATCAACTTTAACCAACGTAAGATAACAATTATATAAGTCAACATTGGCGAGTGAGAGAATTCATAATGTTGGTCACAAGTGTTGACATAACGTTACAGTGGCTCAGTAAGAACATTTTAAAGTTTGAACAAGTTGATGGATGTATAGGGAATATTGATCAAGTTGCAGTCATAGAATCAGAATCAGAATCCAGAATATGCGAAAAGTAGAACTGGCAACAAATGAAAGGCAGAGTTATTTATAAAAACAAACTAATTCCTCAGATCATTACAGAACATTTTATACCCTCTATCTGGCTTCCCTTATGGGTCAGAAAGATCCTTATCACACACAAGGTTATGTCCATGTGTGCCTGAGACGACATATCACTCAAAGACAATGATGCACTGTTTTCAAACTGAATGTTACTCATACAATGTTGACAGTAATTCACAGTGACCATAGGAATACATGTTTATTATACATTATTTGGGTTTCATATTTTACAGCTACTATCAAACAAAAAATTAAAACATATCTATAACCAGGCACATCTAAAAGCAAACAAAATATTCCAAATAAATACTCTAAATGTCCTAAATTCCACCTTTTCTATGCTGGCAGTACACTGCATCCAGTTAAGTCATAACTTAATTCTGATTATCTAGAATTTTACAACTACCATACAAACTTGGAAAGAAAACACAATGTGATACTGTATTCATTATGTTAACACAAACAGATAAAATATCAAAACTGTAAAACAAATCTGTTTTCTTGAAACATAATTATTTATTTAATAACTTTTCTTTTTCCTTTTGAGAGGTCTTAACGGAGGTTTGTGAAAACTGGCCATTCAGTTTGTCCATCACACACATGTAGTTAATAAGACCAGTTACTACAGAAATCAGATTGATACATGAGGGCACTACCCAAATATAAACAAAGCATGTAATAGGACTACTGTAGCAATGTTTCACATCATATCAAACTGGATTTCATAATGAGCAAACACCTGCACTGCACAATTACTACATATAATGTGATGATGAACTATCTCTTTATGCAGTCTTTTAATGCACAACACTGAATTCAGGGTTGCAAAAACACAAATAAAAAAAATCATTGTGTGGAAGCAAACAACACAAACAGTTGGAAGGTAACACAGGAAACCATAATATGTTCATAAAATTTTGGGACTTAAATATATGTTTGAAATGTACGCAAAACTACTTAGCGAAAAACCGATAAAAGGTCAAAGCACAAAGTGAACTAACTACAGCATGTTATACTTTGGGTACCAGGCAATCCACTGCCATGATATCAACAGATTAACCATGACCCTCCCCCTTAGACACTGGGACATACCATGTTCTTAAACAAGTCAAACAATACAATCATGCATAAGAAACAGAGAAGTTTGCTCAACTAATATCTGGGAAAAAAACATACAGCTATAACTGAAACTAATATGATTGGGTTTAATGTGAAGGCCAGGTTGCAATTTAGAATAAGATAAATTTAAAACATTTTTATCTAGATCAACAGCCTACAACTCAGGTGCATATGTCTGTGATTATTAGCTACCATAAAACATGTAAACATTTTCAAACTGCTGTCCCCTTATGGTCTGGTGATGTTGAATTTCATCATGTTGATTACACTGAGGAGCTGTCATCCATTCAGTCATTCATTAGTACACACACTGACGTGATGCTGAACAATAGGAAAGGAAATGGTACTAAAACTAGGATTCCCATACAAAGATATTTACAAACTTACACCATTAGGAGTGTAAAAATGAGCAATGCATTATATGCTATGTACAGTTACAGGCAATGACAACAGATGGTATATACAACGCAGATAATGCTAATAGTGATTGAAATGTACATCTTTGTGTCAATTTCAATCAAAAGCAAAATTTACAATTTATTTTTACATTGCTGCCACCAAGTCATGGCAAGTCACACAGAAGCTAAAGCGACTGAGGGTCACTTGCTTCACACAGGTAGGGTCAGTGAAGGGAATTACTTTAGTAGGACATGCAAGATTAAAACCATTAACTCAATGAATAACTTGGGCAATACTGAAACTTCTGTATCAGTATAAAGTCTGGCCCCCAGTGAATTCACCATGTGATAAAGAAGCATAAATACAGTTAACTGACTAGAGTTTACATGTTCTAGTTGATGTCATAGTCTTTTTTATACCCAAAACTGATCCACCAAGGATTTGTTCCCTTCTGTATTATTATGAAATGTGAAACATGCTCTTTAGATAGTAGGAGTAGTAGTAGTAGTAGTAGTAGTAGTAGTAGTAGTAAACTCCATTACTAACCGAGGATTGGCATATTATTTTATCAGCGACAGGGCACGTCATCACCTACACAATTTGGACCAGTATTACCGAAGTAGGGTTAAAGTAACCTGGAAGTTCAATGCAAACAGTTAAAAACAGAGTGCTCAAACGAAATGTATGCTAAAGTATGGTGAATTTCTTTGAGTACAAATAGCTACAAAAGGCTTAGTGCAATGACAAGCACTACCCAACAATAACCAATGAAGTCACAATGTTACCTGGTGAAACATGTCATAAATACTTCTCTTTGAAATACCACAGATTTTACTTCCTTTCATATTCATTCTCAAATGAAACAAGGAGCAAACAGATACCCATTTCATACATTACATTGTAATAACTATAATCATCAGTACACCAAGAGCATGGAGAGTAGGAACATCTATAAACAAACAGAAGGTTCAATCCACTTCCCACACTACCATGAGTAGTGTTGGTGTACAGCGGTATGTGACACTGCCACCGTTAACCCAGTCACAGACTGATAATAGTACCACAGGAAGCAAGGTGTGCGAGTGTTTGCTTGATCAGGAATAACAAACATAAGGTTTCTCTCTGCAAAGCGCTGTGTGCAAAATGCTGCGTATAATGAGAGGACCAGTAATGTAAATAGTTATTTCTTTTATTTGCTAAATGACATGTGTCCAACACGATGAATAACCCTTTCTATATTCAACATATACTTAATGCCATTATTATTCATGAAAAAAAGTCATTTGAGTTTACTTTCTCAAAATTCTCCCAACTAGGTTGTTTGATGTTGTGGAGGAAAATGACTTCAGAGATTGTTGACATTATTTTATTCCAAGTGACACAGTAGCATTTTGTCGCCAGTCACTAAAACAAAACAACTCATCAATCACTACTGACTTGGGAGGAGGAAACAATGGCACATGCCACTGTGCAGGAAAATAATGAAAGTATTCTCACAACACAACAATGATTGAAAGGAACTACAAGATATTTTAAATAATGAGAGGAAATTGGTTAAATGCTGCTTTGAACAGTATTTTAGTTCGATAGGTTTATAAAGGGAAACACCAGTTCTAGAAACACACTGATCCAGCCTTGGCAGGAGAGTGCACACACCAGTATAGAGAGAGCTCACCTCAGTATAGAGAGAGCACACACCAGCATGGAGAAAGTAAGCACACACCAGCATGGAAAGAGTGCACTCACCAGCATGGAAAGAGTAAGCACATACCAGCATGGAAAGAGTAAGCACACACCAGCATGGAAAGAGTAAGCACACACCAGCATGGAAAGAGTAAGCACACAACAGCATGGAGAGAGTGCACACACCAGCATGGAAAGAGTAAGCACACAACAGCATGGAGAGAGTGCACACACCAGCATGGAGAGAGTGCACACACCAGCATGGAGAGAGTGCACACACCAGCATGGAGAGAGTGCACACACCAGCATGGAAAGAGTAAGCACACACCAGCATGGAGAGAGTGCACACACCAGCATGGAGAGAGTGCACACACCAGCATGGAGAGAGTGCACAGACCAGCATGGAGAGAGTGCACACACCAGCATGGAGAGAGTGCACACACCAGCATGGAGAGAGTGCACACACCAGCATGGAGAAAGTAAGCACACACCAACATGGACAGAGTAAGCACACAACAGCATGGAGGGAGTGCACACACCAGCATGGAGAGAGTGCACACACCAGCATGGAGAGAGTGCACACACCAGCATGGAGGGAGTGCACACACCAGCATGGAGAGAGAGTGTACATACTAGCATGGACAGAGTAAGCACACACCAACATGGAGAGAGTAAGCACACACCAACATGGAGAGAGTAAGCACACACCAGCATGGAGAGAGTAAGCACACACCAACATGGACAGAGTAAGCACACACCAACATGGACAGAGTAAGCACACACCAACATGGACAGAATAAGCAAAAACGAGCATAGAGAGAAAGTAAGCACATATCAGCATGGACAGAGTAAGCACACACCAGCATGGAGAGAGAGTGCACACACCAAGACAACCCACACACCAGTATGGAAAGAGTGGACACACCAGCATAGGCACAACATATCAATAGCCATCTAATGGCTGTAAATCCTTACATCACAATTTGATGAACTCAGTACATCATAAACGTTTTCCCTCAGTCAGCAAATAATACATGTTATCATACTCATATCTGTAAAGGATCTACAGTGCTTGATACAAACATTCATCCACAATGTACGTGTACATTATTAGAGATTCAGTTCATTAAACAAATGTCTGATGTGTGTAAAGCACCTTACAATAAAGTCTAGTATTAGCCAAGGTATCTTCTGCATGTTTACTGTTCTATCCATGATGGCTTCTCAGCATTTGGACGTTTAAGTTTGATGTTAAACTGCTTCAGTGTCGTGTCCAGCATAGCCTCGTTTCCCGAGAAGTAGGCAGACACAGCGTTATGGAACAGCAGCAGCTGTTTGTGCATCACCTTCACCTGAAACAAGGACCACAACCATCAACACAACCACAAGACAAATGGCAACAGTACTTACGAGTATAACAGTAACCTTTTGTTATGCCATTCCTGATGATTGTTAGTGTTCACAGCCTGAAACGCTCATAAAATGTTGAATATGGTGGCCCACAGTGATACTCCCATGGCAGCTGGTACATTGGAGTGATCTCCCTTAGTTGTCCAAGTTGCGCCCAGTGCTTGACACCTTCATTACCTTACAAGTACAGAGAGCTCCACTGTGAGGAGCTTGTTTACAGTAGTTGATTCACTTCCAAGACATACTGTATATCGCCATCCATAAAGCGAACCCCCTGTAAAAGCCTTCAAAATTGATGCTAATTTATATACCCCATATGTAAAGTGAATCGGAATGAAGCACATCACCACCGCATACACAATCCCTACATTTGTAGCCCTTCAGCGAATTCAGTAAAACGAACAGGTGATAAATATTAGACGACATGATTTACCGATTAAATTGTATTTCCTTTTCTGCTAGGAATTGTTTCATATGCAGAGATTAAGATTTCTGTGTGTAATGTCTTGTAAACTAAGCCGGAAGCAGCGATCAGCTGTACACGTTTTCTCGGTGATACGGTTAAAAATTACCTAATAACATAATAATATAATGATTGGGAGATTTGTATCTGAAACTATTATTTTATCAGGAAAAATATATTCCATTATCATGTTATTTTAGTTGTAGCTTTTCTATATATATATATATTAAAAATAAATTAATAACCATAAGTATAACACTTTAGTACAGATGATCACTATTGTCAGATATTTTTTTGTATTGAACAATCTGACCAATCACCGTTGATGCTCCTGCACTCGCAAAATCTTTATATTTGACATATGATATGACTTTCAACAAGTCAAAGTGTGGCAGTTATGATACATATATCCATTCTCTGTCCATGAAAGTTTGTTTCAAGGCGACAATAACAGTAATCAGATCGTGGTTGCTGTATTACTAGCAAAATCTAAATATTTTTGTATACTTATCCTGCATTACTCCTTAATGCATTCACTGCTTACTTTACGACAAAAGACGGGACAGCACAACGGCGATGGTCCTGAGTGAAGAAATAAAATACTGTTGCTCATAGTCCCACTCAACATACTGTTGAGGTCTTGAAGCCAAAGTGGGGAGGCAAGTCTGCGACAGGTGGGCCTTCAACGTAGTAATGCAGGATAAGTATACAAATGTAAAAAATATTTAGATTTTACTATTTGTTTTACTTATCCTGCATTATGATTATGACATGTTGTATCCAAACATTTCCAAACATTTCCAAACAAATCCAAACAAACCAAACAAATCCAAGCTTGGAAATATGACCTTGCCAAATATTGGAATGGTCTGCATCTGTATCGGACGGTTTGGAGGTGGGAAACCCTCCAATAAACTGTGATGCGGAAAAGTTCAGAAAAACGCCATTAGGGTCAGGGTATTTCAATGTGAAAAAAACATGAACTAAAGAATAGCTCCCTATACACCATTGCAATAAAATCAAATTAGCTTACCAGCTAAGTCTTACTTACAGCAACATAGAGTCCTTGTAGACAACCAATTGTCTAATATTCTTCCACTGGCAAAATCTAAGCGACTGCACCGGAAATGGAATGGCTCTGTATAGCGCGAGTTCATTATTTGTACCGGAGGTTGGTAACCTGCTGGGCTACAACCGTTCCAAAACTTCATATGACTTAGACGTGCTCACGAAAATAATGACTGGCGAAAACTGTGTCAGAATCCTTCCATGATTGTTTTAATCGAGCAATTGCTGTGCAACACCATGGTAGAGGCTATTGCCCTGATCTCGTGAGGATTATTCGCTCTTGCTGGATCCAGATTGGCGATCTCGTAGGCCTGAAGGATGACTGTGCGTAACCATAGAGATATGGAGTAACTTCGGTCATGGACATAGGAGAAACAGGTATAAATAACCGCTTCATTGAACCACGCCTAGTCTTGGAACGGCGGATGAAAACTCGTAATGCCCACAAGGGGCATAGCTGAAGTTCACCCTCATCTTCGCTTCCTTAGTCATCTTGTGATTTTCCGGAATGGCCAACACTGAGTTCAGTGCAACCAAGTACATAGTTGGTTGGTTGGTCGGTCGGTTTGTTGTTTAACGCCGCACTCAGCAATATTCCAGCTATATGATGGTGGTCTGTAAAAAAATCGAGTCTGGACCAAACATTCCAGTGATTAATATCATGAGCATCGATCCATGCAATTGGAATCGATGACATGCATCAAACCAAGTCAGCGAGTCTGACCACCCGATCCAGTTAGTCGCCTTTTTATGACGAGCATAGTCGCCTTTTACAGCAAGCATGGGTTGCTGAAGACCTATTCTACCCCGCATCTTCACGGGCCCCAACTACGTGGTAATGGTGCCACCTTTCAAGTGTATTTGGGTACACAGATGTAGGGGGTATTAAGCGAGAACTTGTGGTGACGTAGTTGTAGGGTCTTGACTTTTCGCCTTGCACAAAGTTTCAAACAATCCCCACTTGTCATTGTATAAACCTCTATTAGAGGGACGATTGCTGCCTGTGCCGAATAGCCCTTTGCACTTAACGCCTTTTTAAGACATACCAACCATGCAGACGAAACCTGTCTGGTGTTGGATGAGGCAATTTGCTGTGAGGGTGGATAAGTAGGTTGGACCACTGTGGGAGGGTTAGTGGATCGTCTACTGCTAGATTTCTGAGCTCAACGAACAATCATCTCGCTGGCCACCAGGGTGTGACCAAAGTTAGAGCAAGACTCCTTGTCTCTTTGATCTTTTGCATTACCCTGGGAAGTAAAACTGGTGGTTGAAAAGTGTTTGCTTTTAGCCCCTCCCTAGGGATGCTGAACGCGTCTACTGCCCAAGCCTGCGGATCGGGTAACGGGGAGACATACGTCATGAGTCAGTAATTTTGACAAGTTGCAAACAGGACGGTGTTTGGTTGCCCAAACTTCTGAAGCAGTACCTGGAATGCTTCTGAGTGAAATTTCCACTTGGTTTGGACCACCCTGTCTGGACGCAATAAAGCATGGATAAAGCATGTTTAGACATACTGGGATGTGTTGAACTATGAACTTTAGTTGCAACCGATTCCACTAGATGAAAAAACCTGAATGTCTGTTGAAGCAGGGAGTGGGAGTGTGTTGTTCCCTGATTGCGCAGGCACCACACCACAGTGCTGTTGTCTGTGGATATTGCAAGTTGGGCTGAATGTAGTTGATTCTGCCAATGTGATACGGCCAGAATAAACGCTTCCAACTACAGGTTGTTTATGTGCCACTTTTGATGAGCGCCTGACCATAGCCCTGAGGCTGTCTGGCCTTACAGGTGAGCACCCGTCCCCTGAAGGGAGGCGTCTACGAACAGGTGTAGATTCAGGGATAACCGGATGAAGAGACTGCTCCTAAGACATTCGACTACCGTCCACCAATTGAGGTAAGGCCTTAGTTGAGCGGGTAGAGTAATGGCCTTGAGTGGATCCTGACGCCTGATGTAAGGATTCAGGAATTGTTGAATTCCATGAAAGGAGTCCTGCGTCTGGCCTTCCTTGAGAGACTTGCATCTAGGCTTATAATTGCCTGACCTGCCGGGAAACTGTGAGAAACGTGCTCCAAAGTTCTGTGCCGTTTCATCCCTAGCGTAACTGGAAACTTTGGCGTGCGTGTTCGTAATCTGTTCATTAAACAGAGATGTGGAAGACAAAGGGTGACGTAGCAGCCTACTGTGATTCTCTGTATAACCTCATCCAAACTATGTGCCTGGTCTGCAATCTCAAAAGCATGGATAGAAATTCATCCTACCTAAACTTGGGTGGCTTAAACAACGGCGTAAGCGTCAGCCTGGAAAAGCCCTCATTCATAAGTCTAATCTAATCTGTCCTCATCAGGCCGACCGGATCGACTTAGGATGTGTCCATAGTGTGTCCTTTTTATCCAGCCTGTTACCTGGGGAAGGCACTGAAATGAGGCGATCCTCTTCCCAATCAGGTACCTGTGCCAGACTGAGATGAGTATTCCATTCTGTGGAAGAATCTTTCTCTTCACCATTAAAATGTTGACGTGAACGTCTAGATGGTGAATGACTTGTACTCCTATGTGTAGTGCTACCTCTGACCGAGGGCTTAGATGATCCGTCTGGTGAATAGGAATCATGCGTCATTGTCCAAGTATGTGCAGGTGCACTGGCACGATTCAACGATGAATGTGCTGTATTATGACTGACAACAGGAGCATTTATACGTTAGGCGCTGGCGTAGGTGCTAAGACCTGTGCCGTAGATGTAACTGACGCAGGAGTCTGATACATAGGCGTAGGCGTGGGCGCAGGATACAAATGCGTCATGGACTGCTGCCACATGGACTTGCATCAAATCAGTGTTCCAGAACGGTGTTGGCGCCTGAGCGTGTATCTGCTGTGCTGGATATGTTGGTAAGCTGATCATGCGTTGCCTGAATAGCATTGTACATGGATAGCCCTGGGGCTGATGTCATTGTCGATGTGCTTGGATAGTAGGTGTTGGCTGGAATGTGGCTTGGGTTTTGGGCTACCCCCATCAAAGCGTCTTGAGATCTCACAGATCTAGCAGAACTAGATGTCTCAGGCGGCCGAAAATTAGGGTCAGTTATGATACTCACAAAATCCCCTGGATTGAGGTTTTCGGCGGAACATGCACTTTAGCTGTAACAGTAATGGCCGACATATAACCCGCCGAAGATAATGGTTGTGTAGTAATGACCTAACCATGTCCCTCTCTATTCAGCAAATGTGTCATCTTCTCACGACGGGATTGCTGCAAAATATGTTTGACCTGCCTATAAATTGCAGAACTCGTCGGAGAGAGATTTACGCAAAAGACACATTTAGAGTTTGGTGCACAAATTTGCATGCATGTCAAACAACGTGGATGAAGATCCTTGGCAGATTTTTTTCCACGACAATTAGTACAACGCGCAAGCATAAGTTACGCAAATAAAGACTTTTTGATGATGTGGAACTGGAAGAGTGCCATAGAATTGAATTAATCTCGGCAAAAATATTGTAGCGAGTTGAGGGTGTAGTCATTAATTTGTATATACACAACTCATTGTAACGCCAAAGCTAGTAGTATTTAAGAACACATAAATATGTTATACATAAGTAGCTGAGAATTGTAAACAAATTAACTACCCTTGCAGGCAAACATTTGTAACACAATTCAAAATGGCGGTGAACAAACAGCATGTGGTGGGAAAAAAATGCCTAAATAGATCATATGAAACTGCACAACATGGTGAGAGTGTTATGAAAAGAATACATCACCTGTCGCAGATCAATTGTAGACAAAAACTGAAGGTCTAAATTAATCCAAAATGAAAGCTCCGCTGGTAGACGTCCGTGCTGTAGCACGAGAGGCAGTGATGTGACCTCGGGTCATCAAGGTCACAGGACAGCTGTGATGGTCTTGAAAAGTGGGACCACAAATAACAGTATTGTATTTCTTCACCCAGGGACAGGACCATTGTGCTGTCCCGTCTTTTGTCATAAGGTAAGCAGTGAATGCATTGAGAAGTAATGCAGGATAAGTAAAAAATTTGGTGAGTTGTGCGATCTACTGATCACTTCACTCATTTTCGCCAAAATGAAGTGGAAACAAACTTGAATGAAATTTTGAATAAAATAGATTACAAACCTAAGTCCAATAATACAATGAACACTTCAGTATGGATTTGATTACATGGTATTTCTGGTGTTATGTGCTCACGATAATGTAAAAATATCAAAACTCTTCAACCCTGTGTATAGGGCGGTCCCCCTTGAAAGCCCCCTATTTCTAGGTACGAAAACCAATATACACACCAATATACAGTTTCTCGTTTGAGAAGCTTTACCAGCCATAGTTTCTAGACTGGTTGTACCTATTTGTAAGTGAGACAAGGGCGATACGATGCCTCCTACGATCTGACCAGAGACTTATCCCCATGCCCAGTGTGGATGGGATACTTATTAATATAATCAGTTAACTCCCTTGCCTCGGGAAGATGTCATATTGCTTGCAAAATAGCCAATGCATCACTACTTTACAGTTGCATGAAGATATTTAAAATTTGTTGACTTATTGGAAACAAGAAAAATAATTGATTCCACAGAATTGTAAACAAGAAAAATAATTGATTCCACAGAAGTGAAAACAAGAAACAGTTCGGCTTTGGTATGACTGGGAATAACATTATTTAACTAAATTATACAGAATTAACATCATGTCATTAAAGCAAACCTTGTTTTCTTCAAGGAACTTTAGCTTGATGGAGACATCTCCTCGTAATCTCTCAAACTTGACCTTGTGATCTTCAAACTTCCGTTTGGATTCATCAAGTCTCTGGGCGGTTGTAGAATCTTTCGGACCAAGACTCAAAGTCTCCATATCATTACGATACGCATCAAATTCCAGCCTGAAACAAAGACCATTCAGTATGATGTGGGACACAACAAGGAGCATGTGATATGTACACAAATTATATGTTAAAACGTAGTTACCATTTAAGAAAGAAAATTATTCAAAGTCAAACGCAAGGAAATATAAGGTATGAAGTTGTCCCTTACCTTGCTGTTTCATACAGCTTGACAGTGAGAAGTGTGTCCTCCATGGTCTTGTTACACAACGTGTTGACAGAGGAGGTAAAGAAGTTCAGGGCACCTGCAACGTAGCACCATATGTTACTGATTAGCTGTTTCCAGTATTATACATCAGAACTATACCTATTCCTTCTTGAATCATAACTTATGTAACATATGAATACTGACATTAGGTGAGTGAGTGAGTGAGTATGGTTTTATGCCGCTTTTGGAAATATTCCAGCAATATCACGGCGGGGGACACCAGAAATGGGCTTCACACATTGTACCCATGTCGGGAATCGAACCGGTTCTTCGGCGTGACGAGCTAACGCTTTAACCACTAGGCCACCTGACCGCCCCTATACTGACATTGGACCCTAACTGCATATCATATACAAATACATGTACTAAGAAAACTATCAAATAGTGAAGACCAAAATTGGTACTTGTACAAAGTCTTTGTAATGCCTAGTCTACTTCACTTCGCTGCAAGAAATATCCAAGATGTGCAGCAGTAAGATACAAGAATCTTGCAGCATAAAGTAACCCGTACTAGCATCAATGTCAATGTGCATCACTTCCTGGTACGGTTACATTGGAAACTATCAGCATCGCCATGTCAAGCTACATCCCACTGCATGAACATTAAGGACACCACCAATTTGGCAACAAGAATAAACACAGACATTTCGTATTTTGTAAATACATGTACATTAAACAAATCATAATTTGAAATTTCTTTTCCTAAATGCTTTCCAAATGTGTGTGATTTCCAATGAGTGGTATGCAAATTATGTTTTAAACTATTTTGTCAAATTCTAACCTAACAGGGTTTCTCCATTCTTGACCAAGGACCTCTGTGTCTCACAGTTGTATGTAAACTCCTCATGCAACTCTGGAGCCTTCTGTGCAAGATCAGAGAAAGACTCTCCCAGGGCTCTCTGGGTCTGTACCACATAGAAGAAGTGGTTTGTCAGAGCCCTGGCAAGACGAAGCACACTGGCGTACTTGCGCTGGGTGTCTCGCAGAATTTCTATCTGAGCCTCTAGTTCGAGATCCACTGTCTTAGAGCTCTTGCCAAACCTCTCTGACAGCATCTGCTTGGTGCACTTGAATGTGTTGATACTCCATTCTCGCAGTGACTCCAGCTTGGTTGCAGCCTGAGTGATTGACTTGGGTACAAAGTCACCATTTGTCTGTGGTGAGGACAGCGGCACATTGCTGGTGGCTGCACAAACAAAACATGTGGTTAACAAGGGCAGACATGAAACACAATTGTCACTACGTTTCATTCTAGACAAAAAGTATCATCATAACTTTCTTGCATACATCATTAGAACAACATTTTGATTACAGGGAGTATTATGGAAGATCCTATATCAATCTGACAATGCAATGTCAATAGTGACCATGTCAGAAATCAGGACACCAAGCCTAAACGTAATAAAACTGTATTGGTACATCATCATGCTTTCATTGGGTTAGTTAAGAAATTGGCAAACAGTTAAAACTTGATCCACCTCTAGAATATTATCAATGAATTAACTTGATCATATACCATCAGCAGTGCTCAGGTCAGCTTGTCATCTTTAATGAAACGTATATTACATGTTGCAATTAGATTCTGAGCGAGTGAGTTCGGTATTTCATTTTCAGTTATATCATGACATGCCAGCTTGTTGCTGGTGGAAAATCCGAAGTGATGCAGGTCTTAGTTCTTTAACACTTTGGTCAAACCCACACGCAATGGTGTGTAGCCGGCAAACCTGAAAACAGGGCTCGAAAAATCTTGTAAACTCAACTTGTCCTGCAGGGCTAGTAGATATTATTTTGTACTGCAATATTTTCACTTGCCAGTTTATATTTGATAATTTTATGTTCCCAGTTATTATTACATTTTCTTTCTGTAATTGAAGTCAATTTCCTTTTTCGCCCTGTTTGATAATCAAATCACGTTTTTCCTCATCAAACACTATTGTCCTTGATCAAAAACTTGTACATCAACCATTGCCCTTAAAAGTGTTTTCACTTTCGCTTTGACATTATTGTGAGCATGTAACACCGGAAATACCATGTCAACAAATCTGTACTGAAGTACACCATTTAATCTTGTAATTACACAGTCTGGCTATGAAGAGTGTTCATTGTACATGTGGACTTATGTCTGTAATCTATTTTATTGATTCTATTCAAAATTTCATTCTATATTGTCGGTGATCAGTGATTGGTAGATTGCACAACTCAGCATTATTTACAGCAACCACAACTCAGCATTATTTACAGCAACCACTGTCAGATTACATCTACTGATGCCTTGAAACAAATTTTAGTTGACAGTGAATGGATACATATACATAAATGTCATACTTTGACTTGCTAAAAGCCATATTTGTTGTAGTATAAAATGTCAACATAAAGTTATCGCAATCACCTCGACCGTGACTGGTCAAAATGTTCCATACAATAAAAAATATCCAGCAATAGCAATCAGTTGTACCAAAGTTCTACGCGTATGGTTATTGTAATCAGAAATATATATAAACAACCTGCAACTAAAATAACACAATATTGGAAGATATATAAAATAATATTTTCATGTACACTTCTGATCATTGCATCAAAATTCTTTGAAGTTATATTATTGGGTGATTTTTAACCAATTCACCAGTAGATTGGAAGAAAAAGTGTGTACAGCTGATTGCTGTTTCTGGTTTAGTTTGTGAGATATACACACTTTATCATAATTTCTGCATGTAAAACAATGCCTAGCAGAGCAGGAAATATAATTTAAAGGATAAATAAACACGTCTAGTGATGTTTTATCTCAAATTTGAAGTGACTGAGTTTGTTTTCACCCTTTCATTTACCTGAATACACTGAAGGTGAGGTGAGGTGAAATTGGGTTTAACGTCGCGTCCAAGATTATTGCACTTATATAGCGACGTGCATGCACGTGTATGTGTGTGTGTGGCTGCTTGTACTAGTCCGGACTAATGCCGATTTATAGTGCTAGCTCACTGAGATACCATGCCGCAGTTTAACATGAATACCCCACTCAGACACAGTATACTGACTCCGAGCCGACCAGTCCTTGTTTTAGCCCCTTAATGCCGAGCGCCAGGCAGGGTAACAACAAGTACAATCTTTTAACGTCTTTTTGTATGACGCGGCCCGGGATCGAACCCTGGACCTTCCGCTCTCCGGGCGGACGCTCTACCACAAGACCACGGAGGCGGTCGAATACCCTGAAGTGATACGATGTAATTTATTTCTGCACATAATACTATTCATTTCTTTAACAGAAAGTTGTCAAGTTTGCTGGCTTTTTATGATATGAGTGACATGTATTTTGTTGTTACTGCTGAAAACGTGCGAGAGATTATTTTAGGTTCGAAATTATTTTGCATATTATATTGAAAACGAAAAGCGATGAATTGACATGACTGAAATATGTACTCGTCCGGTGGGATGAGCACATGCTGCCACTCATCAATACGAGCGGACAAGTGGATTTTTCGAGCCCTGTGGAAACATTATCAGGGCCAACCAAGATTCAAACCCAAGATCATACACATGCATAATGGTGAGCATTGTGTCAGAATAGGTTTTCTTATTTACATATTCAGGCAAAAGAGCTACTGGCTATCAAAGCAAGACAAGCAGTGTTTTATCAAGAATATGTGTAATCTAAGAATGCTTATTTTTAAAATGTTCTGTAGACACATGTTTTACTCATCATGCTTTACATTAAACAGAAATAAGGAAACCAAATCATACCCCGTATATAGTGCTTAAAAAATAGTGTCACAGCACTGTAGCTCACCTACATGTTGTCAACAGTTCAAAAACAAACACAGCCACAGAACAAAAGTAACTGTCAACACTGATTTTCACATTTTTCAAGCATAAATACCAGTAATGAAACATTAATGCAAGGGATGCATTCTTAAATATTCCCCTTTGACTGAGTCAGGATTTTATTTACCCCCTAAACCTTTGAAATGTGTAAGTTACCCCATGGATACTAAATTGTTTTAAAAAACGTGTAAATACTCAGCATAATTATGTCATTGCAAGCCTTCCCCTAAAAGGTAGGTCAAAATCGTCTAATAACAGTAATTGTGATGACAATATGTCTTTCAGATGTCAATGTGATTATTGTCTCTTGACTCACAGGCAAACATTATGCAAGCCAGACAGAGAACCAGGGGTGATAGCAATGATTAAATAATACCTACTTTCTTTCATAGTAACGTTGTACGAGGGCAAATACAGATACATGAGATGTGACGCTGATGGTTTGCTTGTGGGAGCTGGTTTATGCATGGGAAATATGCAGTATTCCTGCCTAATGGAAAGCCTTGAAAACCCCTGTTCATGTTTAATGCCATCAGCCATGTGCATGACAGACTGAGTGTCAGCTGCTACAGTTATCTCGATAATCAGTTAGAATCTACATTCACTTCATCTAGTTGTCACTGACATCTAGTTTTCAACAAGAAAAATGACAGTAAAGCCATTGAAGGTGTCCTTGTAAGAGTAGGAAGCACAGGCGACTGCTTGTTGTAAGAGGCGACTAACGGGATCGGGTTGTCAGGCTTGCGGACTTGGTTGATGCTTGTCATCGATCCCAAATGCGTGGATCGAATATCATGATATCAATCACTGGATTGTCTGGTCTAGACTTTATTATTTACAGACCGCCGTCATATAGCTGGAATATTGCTGAGTGCGCCGTAAAAAAACAACAAACCCTAAAAAACAATTAATTGCAGAAATTACAAATTTCTCCTCTCTAATCCTTAACATGCTCAACAGCAACTCTCAGTAAATACTGCTTAATAAATATGCCTGGTCACATGCCTTTCTCTACATTTTGATTTTCTGAAATTTTACTAAAATATAGAGTTGACTAAGGTGACCATGTGTGACAGAAATCAGATGTAATTCCATATATTGTCAAAGGCATATAAACATGAATTAAAGCCATGTGGTGAAATAGTAGAATAGTATAACTACATCTTTTTATCAAGCATGAAGGGGAAGGTAATGTTTACAGCAATGGTTTGTTAAGTAAGCATGAGCTGAGGAAAGGTAACATGGTTAGGTAGAGTGTGCAAAACATTACCGGTGCATGTATTTCTGTTTACGAAGTCCTTATATTCAGAATATATAATAACATGCTGATTTCTATTTAAAAAACCCAATTTCATTTGGTCAGAGGTGAAACTATGAAACAATGCTAAAGAAATTTACACGGATTATATTGCTCATAGCCTACATCTCAGCATCAACATCAGCATGATCAGATAATATCAAAACTAGGGATGCCATCGTATATTGTGTAAAACTGATGTATTGGTACAATTTTAATACTTATTCTCTATCTATACAAATGTATGACTTTTAAATTTATATGTACCATAAGCACGATAGAAAGGCAAAAATATTTATTTGAAACTGTCAATTAAATGGATCAGCCTTCTTCATATTCAACATAAACTTGATTATTTACAGGTGCTTATACATGTACTTGATATAGGATGTTTTCATCTGTATCCATAAAATAACTAATTTTGTTATTCAATAATATATGGTGACATTTTTGAGTCGATATATGGATACTATTCAAATTCCAAGCATTGACACCCCAAATCAAAAATGATCATTCTTCAAACCAACTGGACATCATCTGAACTCTCTGAACTTTTGTGAGAGCAATTGTAAGAGTACAAAGATTAAACAAACATGTTATCAACAATCCTTGTTCATCCAGGGTATTATTTCTCCTTTAATAACCTTGCACTCTTAGCTTCCTCCAAATCATGTTGGTATGATTCTGTTAAGTACTAGAACTTCATTTAGACAGATGATAAGGTGCTTTAGCTTGGATAACTATAAGGTAATTAATTCATTGCGGGGCAATGTTATAACACCTCTAACAAGGTTATGAAGTCAGAAGCAAGGAAAGCAGAGAGAAGACACACCAGGAGGCATGGTGTAGGAGCGAGTTAATCGGGCTTGGGGTGACGCACTTCTCGTTGCTGGAGACTCAAATGATGAACTCAAGGCTGTACTTCCTGCATAGGATGCGGTCATTCTGGTCGGTGTCCCACCTTGAACATTGGAACTAGCATCATTCAAATTTGGCCCATCATCTAACATCTCTTTCAAGTCTCTTTCAAATGTGTCTTCTTCCCCTTCCATTCCATTTGGTATTGCTTGTTGCCCTTCTCTAGCCATGGTGACTATTTACATTGCCTTGTAAACAAAACAAAAGAAATACAGGTTTATACACAGAACTTACATTTTGTACAATATTGTATATATTAGAAATGAACTAAATTTTTTATCAGCTTCCATTTTTCTCAATGTTTGATCAGTAAAACATTTAAAATATTAACTTAAAACTTGATAACTATTTATCCTCAGGGTTCTATGTTTTGACTTTGGTGGAACTTACAAGTTAAAATTCACTTCAGCAAATGAAATGTTAATAGCCATAGTCATGATAGTCACATGACTGTTAGATCTAAAGTGTAAAATCGATCGGCCTACCTATAGAATACAGTACCACAAAGTTTTTATATATGGCACAATACCCTGTGATGTAAGGGGACATCGAGTGTCCATAAGCTCCTATCAGTGATCTATCATCTCTAAACAAATCTCAAACGTATTTGAATTAACAGTATGAAGTAGTTTCATGTCAAAGATTTTGACTTCAGGAAACTGTCATATTGAATTTCTTCTACCCAAGCCACTTTCACTTGCTACATTTCTTCACTAATTATTCAAAAGCCAACAACCTAGTGACGGCAGTAGCCATGCCTATGACTTTGTAGTTCCTTACTATGATTCGAGTTGTCCTTACAGTGTTCTTACGGATTCTCACAAAAAATGGTTGCTGGTCACTTGAAGACGTGACCCGGGACAGAGATCATCCTCAGGAGACATTGTGATAATGCATTCGACAGGTGCTAATTCTAAATTCTAAATGTTCAACCTTAAGATAGTTAGCCTGACAGCCAACAGACTGAGCTACTTCTAGTCCACATTGTTAAATTTACCTAGTCATGTCTAAGACGTTAGGATCTGAACGAGAAGGGTCGAATATGTGACACACTCTTACAAAGGTTACGGGTTGGCTTTGTGTCACGTGACTTTAGTCTACGGACACTTACGAGTGATCCTACTGCCATTTGGCACACTGGTCCCAATCCGTAATCTACAAGATTCCAAGTGGTGAGGAATGAGCCAATATGGCACGAACTGAAAACGGCTCCAGGAGTCGTATTCACAGGTACATGATATGAATAACATGATATTTAATCATTTGTTGGGTGATTTTGTGTCAGAAAAATGTGGGAGGGATCACTGTAAGGAAAATGTGGATCATAGTGAGGAAGGAGGATGTCAAGGAAGGCATAAGCATGGCTGGTGAGTCTGCTTTTGAATCATTACTGAACAAATGTAGCAGGTGAAAGTGGCTTATGTGGATGTTCCAGGACAGTTTCCAGTAACGGAAATATTGACACTAAACCATTTCATCCTGCTTTCTCAACTTTTTTATGTGAAGAATATTAGGAGTTGCTATAGAATCTACCGGTAATAGCCACTAAACAGGTACCTAACTCGTAAAGGGGCGATCCATCATAAAGGGGATCCAAGGGCTAAGGATTTTGGGGTAACCTGCCCAACACAATTAACTAACCCTCAGGATAGACGATCAGTGAAGCCAGAGACACAGCCACAAGAAATATGGAATCTACAAACCTAATTGATTTAGTGAAAAAGATGTTCCAAGGTAAATCAGCTGGCGACATTTGGATGTGTGCAGTATCAAAATAACATACCTAATAAACTGCATTCCCGTGCATAATAATGAAAATTAATGAATAAAAAAAATGAAATATGTATACTGTATACATAATATATCCTTTTAGCCACATGAATTTAGTTGAAATCGAAATATAAAATATATTTTAAAAAATGTGCTTTTCATAAACTATAGCGCTTGCTATAATATGCGCTGTCACAGGCAATATTTCATAAACAAATATTCAAAACTGTGAACATTGCTGGGCTTATTCAATGATACAGAGATGATAGATCACTGAGAGGAGCTTATACACACTAGACGACCCCAACAACTCTGTTGCTAGGCTGGCCACACAGGGCATTGTTTTGCAGGTGTCTTTTGCAACAAAATTTCACAAATTGCGTCATAGGGTATTGTGTTTGTTAACTTTCGTGGTGCTGAATTCTTAAGGTAGGTCGATTCTCCAGTTAAGCGATATGTTAGTTTTGAAAGTATTTAAGAACCTTCGTTGAATTTATATTACCCTACCCGGGTACCTGTTGTAGGTCTCAAGAGATGGGTACAAAATATCCAATTGGGATTAGTTTGACCGTAGCCTTGGCAAAATGTAATTAGATACACATATAGAAAGATTTGGTCATGCAAACACTGAAGTTGACTGAAGCCTTATCTTTTTTCAAACATATGAAAGTCAGAAGGAATGTGTGTATAGTCAGAGAGAAATGCAAACATTAGTGACTTGTAGCGTAAACATGGGAGTTCTGGAATTTTTTTGTCATTAAACAATGTGACTAACCACTTGTAGTCCTGTGGATATACGGGTCCTACTCAGAATCCACCCGATCCGAGTTACCCGTCCAGCCCTTATATGCATGTTTCGCACAATCACAGTAAACAATAGTCAATGGGACTAATGGCTATACTGAGAAGTTGACGTTGTCTGAAGAGCAAGGGATATCATACAAAATTTCTATCGTGTTCAATTTAATATGAACGGGAAGCATAAAATGGACAGCAGAGCATCAAAGGAGTGCAAGCAAAGTTTACAAAAATAGTTTGACGAACGAGTCACCTGACGAACAAATGAAATTGTGTGCACCAGTGATCACATTCTGAGAGTGACCGCTGCATCGACGAGTTTCCAGCCGATTTCCTTATTTCTCAAACAATGGCCACCCTATAAGTCAGCAGGACAATGCATTCACCGCGGGAATATAATCAGTAGTTACTAAAATACAAAACCCCTTCACGCTAAGTAAATAAAAATAAATCAGTACTAGTTTTATATTGTGGTAATACTCACCTGCCGAGATGTCTGTGTGTCCATCGACGTGTTGGCTAATGACGTCATCTCGCGATAAATCCCGTTATTTTGTTATGGAAGTGCTTCTCCTACAACTACTAATGTATTTTGCTTGTGGCATTCAGATGGAGATGGAGATGCACTCACCGAGTTCATTTCCAATGTTCCGTCGACTGTGTTTGATGAAGTGAAATTATAGAAAAGCGTGATGACGTTTTTAAAACAAATTTGATGAAGTGATGACTACAAAAAGAATACAGACACCAAAAAATTGAGCAGTGATCAAATTACCTCTTTAAATATCATGATTGTGGGTGGAGCAAAATCATCGTATCAACGATATAAAAAAACGGGAATGAAATTATACCACAGAGTATCCAAATCTAGGAATTTGTAGCTACACACAAACAAAACAATTTTTTGTACAGTTCCCTATCCTATGAAGATGCAAAAGCCACTGCCTCACACATGAATTCCCATGTATGTACATGCTTAAGACATTACATTTTTTTCCGTAGAAGGGATAGATAAAAAACGTAGGTTATATATATATACACAACGTCTTGTCTTATTTCACGTAATACTTTCTTCAATAATTATTAACTTACTATGTTGTTACGAAGGTTGTATCTTGTGTTTGTTGTCAACTCAGGGCAAAGCAGAAAGCACATGTGTGACTAACAAGCTAAGAAGGCCTGCGTTTCACTGACATCGGGACTGTCCTATTTAGTCAAAAATCATTTTCTTGATACAGTGGCCATATTGAACAGAATGAATTTAGCAGACGAAGGGCAACAAAGAAACGTTAGTAATGTGGAATAGTATGTATTATTATCTTAGGCATGGGAAAGCCACTTGACCACCGATAGTGGCGATACTGGCGATATTTACAGTAACGTACCAGTACCGAACATCACATTCTGTGTTGGAGTACAGCACTTACCAAGGTCAACCGAAGTTAGCACATTTCTGGAAACCAGGGTTGACAAAGTTTAACCTGAGTTAACCAGTGTTAATTGTGGGTAACCCAGCGTAGTACCGAAATAAAAGATAAAACCTAAGATATGTTCACCATACAAAATGGTTGCTCGGAGAAACATAAGTCTGACAAGAGCCATGTGAAATATACTTTGTGTAGTGTAATACAGTATAGTTTTGCCCAGAACTATTATTGTTATATCAGACAATCATATATAATGTTATATCAGGAACAATTTCACTGATCAATAATTGGTGTGGATGCACAATCTTGATAAACAGGAAGCACAGTATTACCAAGGATACATAAGATCACACAAGTATGAGAGATTAACAACATTAAGCATTTTATTGCTTGACATAGGGCCAATAAGTCGACTGTTCTGAAGAATATTTTTGCAAGCAGCAGCTGATAACTCCCCAATCCCTTGTTCTGCGATAGAAGTTTCTGCTCCAGTGACCACAGCATGGGAATTGCATATCACGTGGCCTGACCTTTCTCTTGTTCGTAAACAAATGCGCTTATTGTGAAAGATGAACAGGCAGGCCTAATGGAAGCCTTTCTTTGCTTTTTACATATTATTTTCATAATTATATTGATATACTACTACAACTGCTACAGTGAACATGATAATATAGCTTTACACGTTTCAGTGACTGTATTGCTGTTTCACTGTAGGGCTCCGATGACAGCATGTGGAGCCATGCAACCAATGTAAACGTGCAGATGTAAATAGTTTATTGTAATGTTTATTGTAAAAAAGAGTCTCTACAAACATGTGTCTACAGCTAGCTTTTCTTTTTCAAGCTGCTCAGAATTAATTATAGTCAAGAAGTTTCATGGCGTAAAATTGCTTGTCACAGTACATATCGTATCATGACCTATGTATCATTTCATACCTATATTATATACAAAATACTAATTGCCAGCTTGATAGGATTAGAAGCCAGTGTTTATCAAAGTCTATATTACAATAGAAATGCCTCGGTCATGTGAAGCCGATTATGTTCAAGATATTGCACATGGTTTTCTTCTGTTATTGAAGAGTCTACACACTTAGGAAATCATGTCATGAAACATTTAACTTCCATTGAGAAAAAATCCTAAAACGTCAATATTTTGCGATATTTGACTGAAAAAAATGTTTGAGGTTGTTAAACTAGTAGTATGTAATATATTTCACCAAGTGTAATTATACAGAAAAAATGTATCGTGCATGAAAACTCACGATGCTAGAATGTATCATTTCACCCCTAATATTCTTTTGAGAAATGAATCAGTCCGTGAACAAACAGTGTAACATCACACTCAGACATTATTTCATGCATGATTTGAAAGCACCTAGAACCGTTGGCGTACTGGTCTTCTAATTCTTGTTAAGTGACGAGAAGGTTCGGAATAACTTGGAACATAAAACAGAGATGCAAATGCATCAACATAGTTGAGTTATTAATGTATAGTATCAATACCTAATTAATTATAATTGTTAAATGTTTTTATTTGTGATTGAATCAATAAATGAAACTATACTCACACTCAAAAGATATGCAAGTGGTTTTAAGCAAATAAGTAACAAACACGGAACCATAAATTGATACGAGTTTTAGCATGTAGTGAAGCCTGATGGTGTTATCAATATTTTTGGTTGCATTTTGGAAGCCCTGAGTAAAAATGCAACATAAAAAACGAATCGCCAAAACGCACTATTTCAATGAATATGTGGGTATCATGCACCCATTTCTCGTGAAATCGAAAATGCATGAACTGTCACGAACTGTAGTGGGTATAAAACTGTGGCCTATTTTTGGACCTACCACTCCTTTGTCAACAATACCAGGCCTAACTCAAATTCAGAGAAACCAGGCTATTGGAGAGTCTGTCCAAGATGTTGCCCTTCATTTCAACGTTAACATAACCACAATTTACCGTCTCCTGCATCGATACAATGCTACACAGACCACAGATGACCTTCCTCGGAGTAGGGTCACCACACCTCGACAAGATCAGCAGATTACCCATCAACACCAGCGACATCTGTTCCTAACTGCAAGTGAAAGTGCTCGACAGACCATAGGAACACATAATCGACACATTAGCCAGGACACTCCGTTCCAACAACCTCAGATGTCGCCGACCAGCACGTCGCCCTGTTCTCCAACCACGGCATCGACAAGCACGACTTCAGTGGGCACAGGGTCATCGCAATTGGCCTCATCGTGAGTGGAGGCGTGTCATCTTCTCTGATGAAAGTCGCTTTTGTGTCTCCCATGCAGACGGAAGAGTCAGAATTTGATGGCGTCGAAGTGATCGTTTCGCTGACAGAAACGTTGTGGAAAGGGATCCATGGGGTAGACCTTCTGAATGTTGGTCAAGGTCGGGGACACGGCGTCACTGCTCAGCGGTATATTGACCAAGTGATCAGACCCCACGTTGTTCCATTTTTTGCACAACATCAACAACACATTTTCCAGCAGGACAACGCTCGTCCCCATGTTGCCAGAGATACCATGGCCTTTCTGCAACAACACAACATCCGTGTTCTACGGTGGCCAGCCCTCAGCCCTGATCTGAACCCCATTAAACACTTGTGGGATGAGGTTCAAAGGCGTCTGCACGATGTGCGCCCAGTCCCTACAACTGCTGATGAACTACGCACAGCTGCTCTGGATGTGTGCAGGAGGATCCCTAGGGCCTTCACAAATTGCCTGATCCACTCAATGTACAGGAGATGTGTGGCAGTGATCAGTGCTAATGGTGGTCACACCAGGTATTGACTGACATTTTGGGTATTGACCCGAAACTGTGTAAGCCCTTAACATTTGAAAAAAACAATTATGTCATCTGCCTTTTAATCCATTAAACTGTCTTCAGTCACATTTTTGTCAATTTTGCCCTATTAGTATTTCTTGTCTTTACTGTTGAAAATAAATAACATGTATACTGCATACTCGACTTGCGTTTCTTTTGCATGTGAGTATAGTTTTCATTAACAATGACATCACTTGGAGGCTGCTTTCCGGAGTACTGCAGCCAAGGGGTTCATTAGGTCTAGGCAAGTATGGTCAGCCGAAGTATGATGTAAATCAGGTAACGTGCTAAGATTGGTCAACTTTTACCATGAAGCACATGCTGAGTAGCCATTTTTCTCTGTGCAGTGCAAAACTATAAGGATTTACAAATTTTCCTCAAATTACAAAATAGATGAGATAGCTAACCCATCCCCTCATCCAACTCACAACTCATCACAAGGATTGTTAAAGGGGTACTTTGCCCAAGGAAACGTAAAGGGGTGTTTGATTGGCAAAGGGTACCCATTTCTAAGGATTGCAAAGGGATATTTGATAGAAGGGGGTACTTACCCAAATAATTGCAATGGGGTACTTGATTGGAAAGGAACTCAGGCCTAAGGAAAGAATTGGGGGTAACCTACCCTAAGCCAACTAACCATGAGGATCGAAGAGGCACAGCAAACTCAGTGAAGTAAGAGCCATACCCAGAGCCAAGAAGCGCTCTAAGCTGCACCGGGTTAAATTCAGTCTTGCCTTGGTGAAACCTAAAAAGTGAGCACAGTATTCTGTGGTACATAGTGATCCCACCCGAATATTACAGACCCACCCTCGAATCTGTGATCATTATATTGATGCTTGTATGGCAGTTATTAGGATGCCTCCAGACACATCCTGCACTGCTGCTGTTTTCTGAGAGAAAGACGAACTGTGTGAGATCCAGCTGCTGAAGAAAAGTTGTTCCAACCAGTAGAGGCAGCACCCTCTCACAGTCGGCACGTGACCTAGAAGTTATGACATCACATCAAAACACATAACTGCTTTGTCACCTCCACGGATGGACGTACTTTGTATCCTTGAGGAAATTAAAGCTCTTTATACTTTGCATGTTTCTACATTCATCATTAGCTGCTATATTGTTACCTGTTTATGGTTTGTTACCTTTGGGGTCTTCCCTTTTGTAATTGGTAATGTTTATCGTTCGTTTGTGACTCTAGTCACAGTTATTTAGGGGCGTATTGTTGTTTCCCGCCATTTTTGCGATGAACCCCGTGGCCACATACTTTCGTGGTTTGCGTTTTGAATTCTTTATTTGGCTTGAGTATTACACTAAATTTATTTATTTTGTGTAGGCTAGTTTAAAGCCTTGCTTTTTCACTACCTTTTTGTTTGCTCTTAGAAACTTTTTATAACATGAAAGGTTTTTGTGTTACATTATGCTTCCTGTTGTGTTTTTGCTTAAATTCCAGACTTAATGCCTTGTTCCTCTTACTGCTGCGGCAACTGCGGGAACACCCGCTGCCTTGATTGTACGACTCCCTGTACCATCACGGTGCAGTGCCGATACTGCAGTCCCTTGTTGCTGTGTTCCTTCAACTCTTACCTGCAAGTATCCAGAAAACGTCTCACTCAACATGCTCGTTGAGACCCTGACATGGCTTACAACTCGGAGACTGTCTCCCTCATCATGACCGACAACCTTTTACGCCTCCCTTGCACACACCTTTGTCGACAACATCTTCCCCGGTGACACCTGTAACAGTGTTACAGGACCAGGTTTTCCATCTCCTCTGCCATCTATGTCGACCACAGCAGCACCGGCACCCTTGACTTTCATGACTTCGGCGGTGCCACTGGCGCCTGGTTATCTCAACTCTTACTTGCCCATTGTGGGTGTGGACGTTTAGCTCTTTTTATGCCCAGTTAGGGCATTAAAGGTTTTCCTACGACAGTCTAAAGCCTGCGAAGTCTAGGAAGCACCTTTTCCTGCTGGTCTCCCCCTTGTCACGGCTGAAGGTCAGCTGAAATACTATTTCCCAGTGGCTCTGGGCGGTCATCCTCCAAGCCGTGACATCTGATAAAGATCAGAGTAATGCAGGATAAGTTAAAAAAATTAGTAAAATCTAAATATATTTTACACTTGTATACCTATCCTGCATTACGACATATAAGTACCCTCCCTTTGCTATGCTGCCTCCCCACGAAGTTTCAGATGTTGCATTTCAAGCAGTTATGTGTCTTGAAGTGATGTCATAACTTCTGGTTCACGTGCCGACTGTGCGAGGGTGCTGCCTCTAATGTTTGGAACAACTCACACAGTTCGTCTTTCTGTCGGAAAACAGCAGTACATGCATTAAGGAGTAATGCAGGATAAGTATACAAATGTAAAATATATTTAGATTTTACTAAGTTTATAGTATTATTAGTTATTAAGTATTCATTCTTTTTGCTTTATTTCATCTCATAGCTGTGCAACATATGAAGAAGGGCATGAATTATGAGTTTATGACTGTAAAATACTTACTCAATGCCTTGAATTGTCACATAAGTCGACCATGTCGTATCACACTGTGCATACAATGTTTGAATGTATCCTTGTTTGTTTCAGTTGAAAGATTTTTTGTTGCTGTACAACAAATTAACAGAGCAGTGTTTTGAGAGATGTGTATACAACCTGAACAATGTGGGTGTGTCCAAGGCAGAGGTGGGTGTCAAGCTATGGACAAGAGTTAACAAGGCATTACCAGTTGAAGTGAATGAAGTTTACTAAACATTTGGTAATGTCTGTTGTAGCAGTCTCACACCACCCTGGATAATGAGTTATTTTTCCGATGCACATTTTTGCAAGTGCCCAAAAGTGAATGCTTTTGCATAGACCAGTCTTTTGAATATTGTTCCTTAGCCATGCAGTGTAGATGTCCTTTGCATCAGCTGAACTGTTCAACTGAACCTTGGCTTATCGTCAGCTGCATACATGTACTTAGAGAAGCATCTTCCTGAAGCAGATAGTTAACTGACTATAAAAGTCCAGTTTCCACCCTTGCCGAACTAGGCTGGTATTATGGAGTTACATTTTGGCTGGACTAACGAGTCTATGCATAGTCCAATCAAAATCTCGCACCGAAATCGAAATCCGGTTCGTAAACTCTCGTGCAGATTTCGATCGATTGCAGTATTTGCAAAGCGTGTGCACAGCCAACTCGTTGTCAGCAGATATTATTCCAAATCTTTTCATGGTTTTAATCAAGGTGCTCACATGATTTGATGCATTTCGTGATGTAAGACCTGTTTTATCACAATATAGATCCAGATTATCGATCAAATCGTCCTGACCGGGCGCCACCATTTTGTGTGAAGCAAACGCAAGTGATACGAGAGATGGCATCTGATTGGTCCATAGGAGAGGCTTAGAAGGGACATAACTGGTAATAGCCACTGGTGGTGCTACGATCGAGCCCAGTAATTCCAGCCTAGTATGGCAAGGGTGGAAACTGGACTTTTAAAGTCAGTTAACTCTCTTGCCTTGGGAAGATGTTAGAGAAGTTACTTTGAACACTGTAAGATCAAAACAGATTCAAATTAAAATGAGAAGAATAAAGAATCTACCGTATTCGACGTAATAAGCGCCCCGCTCTAATAAGTGCCCACGGTGATATTTGCTAATATATTGGTTAGTGAACAATCCGTATTAGCACCCCTTCTGATTGATCAATGTACACAAGACGTGTATATAATATGTGTGTTATATATGCATCCTTGATTATGGGCAAATCAGTTCTGGAAAATATAAGAATATATCTGTGGTGTACGCACAGACTTTTCTTTTGTATCATTACAGGCTGTCAGTATAAACCACGAAATTTATTATCTTTCAATTATTTCCAAAATTTTATTCTAATAAGTGCCCCCTATTTCTAATTTTGAGAGTGCCCTGGGAGCTTATTAAGTCGAAAAACGGGATTTTATTTCAGTCATTCTGTCTACAATCCAGTCTCATTTGCAGGCAGTACTTATATTGACTGAAAATTTTAGTGAATCTGTCAATATACATCTGACCTTCAACTCTAAGAAATGACCAAATATGTACAACAATGTTGTAAAAACAGCGTGTTCACTGAGAGCAGTATGTAGGATTTCAGGGATCGTATATACATAAATAAATGTCTCATGCAAGTATTCAGAAACAATCTGACAATCTGCGTATTGTTTTTATGTTTTCTGTTTTAATTAATAAGACATGCAGATAAATACAGTTGTTGTGCATAATTTTGGGTCATTCATTGAGCCAGATAGGAGGGAAACTTTGACAATTTGTTTTGTATTTACTAAATCATCATAATGTATAGTCAAACACGGTTGTGTCGAAGTTGAAGGGACTTACGTAAAAACTTCAAGTTATCCAAGGCTTGCCAAAACCAAAACTGATGAATAAAGAAGGAATACGCAGGGACCAAGCTTTTACTTTGAGACAAGCGTTAGTTTGACACATCAAAGTCGACACAACCATGTCAAACTGTATCTTTTTCTAATTCCCTAATTCCTGCTATACTACTCTTCCAATGCATATGCTCACAAAATGGAGCCAATGTATGCAAAGAAGAAATGAATAGATCTCTAGAAATAGGAGAAAATGCTACACGTATAAAATTATAATTTCTCATTTTTTTTCTAAAATGTATGCATAATTCAGGGATATATGTATCACAGCAGAGTGTGAAACATATGTGATGTAATAGGCGTATCATGGTACATAGATACAGGAATATCCTAGTGCTTATGTGCATAATGACAAGCTGTACAGAGAATATTGAGCACAGAAAAAACAATGCACTGGCTGATTCACAAGATATGTCCGATTGATGACAAGATATGCAGATGATCAACTTCTTCATAACAGTTGTGGTATTTTGTGTGTGTAGATTCTATTTCTAACGCCATTATGAAGCAAGTTATGTATCCAACTTCCAACTGTTTCTCAAAGATGAACATAAATCCAGTGTTTATGTTTTAGACTGACTGTGTCGGTGTGTGTACAGACCGCTATGTCACCTACAACCAGAAGCTGATGATGAAGTTCATGGAGCACCAGAACTTGAGACAGCAGGCAGCAGCACGAGAAACGGAGGCAGCAGCCCAGCAGGGCGGAGTCGCTCCCAGCCCGGCGGGGGACACTCCCAACTCCTAAAAGGCCACAGTCTCGGCCTTCACCTCTCATACCTATTAGCCATGGAGTGGAGGTTACAATACTACAGTACTACTAGATCGGGAACACGAGTGTTGTGGAGTGTTACAAGACCCAGCATGCAGCAGTCACTGGCTGTAGGTGCACGAACCTGGATAATCATGTGACTGTTCAGGCCCCGGGGATGGTAGCAAGGCTTGCAGGAGCGGCAGATTGATTATATAATGCACAAGTTATTTATCATAAAGAATGTTCAAGCCAACCTGAAAGTTGTCTTGTGTTTTATTCGGGGGGATGAAACTATTCAGTAATGCACTCACTGTCAGAATGATACTTGACACACATGATGGCTGATTGTACATATGCACAACATGCACAGTGATATGAGGAACATCTTCAAAAGGCATTTGCTGTTTTGCTTTTCTTAGATGTTTATCAATAGAGCTGAGTATCGCCTGGTGTTTTGCGATACAGTGCGTATCACGATACAGACTGATGATGCCACTGGTATCACGCTACACCAACAAATAGGAAACACTATGAAATCACTGAAATATACCTCTAAAACCTCTGGATTCATACATTTACTTATTATTATCTCAAAAACAAAAACAATAACCCAACAGACACTACTATAAATCGGTATCATTCCGGACTAGTACAAGCAGCCACACACACACATACACCTGCATGCACATCGCTATAGAAGTGCAATAATCTTGGACGCGACGTTAAACCCCATTTCACCTCACCTCACCCAACAGACACTTACTATTAACCAACAGACACATACTGACAGACAACAAAAACTTGTTAAAAAAAGAAAGTTTCAGATGAAGGGATGGTTTAATAGTTTAGTAGCATGCACATCCTCGATTACCACATCCTTTGAAGTTGCGCTATGCTACTTCTGCCATTACGGGAGTTGACTTTATCTATTCTGTTCTATTTATAGCATATCATGGTCTCACAGTGAGTCAAGTATTGTCTGTACCTTAGTATCGATGATATCGTACATATCAGTGATCCATTAGAGCCCAATTTATCAATGAGTTCAATCAATTCAGTTATATTCTAGCTAATCTATCTCAGTTTTGTTCAGTCTTCCACTTACAAGTTAGAGGTCTTTACACATTTGTCTATAAAGTGATTGACCTCAATTGTAAGAATGGTTACAGAGTATATGAACAGCTATATTTTAAAAATCAAATCTTTTGAAAGCTCAAGGAGAGGCATCATGTTTAAGAACAGTGGAGTGTCAGGAGGAGCACATGGCCTCCATACAGGGGCATCTTTCATTTTCAAGGATCTATTTTTTTTCCCAGGAGAGTTCAATACCTTGGTGCAGGAACAAATATGCCATATGTAATGGTTTCAGATGAATGTGGCTTGTATCCTCTATTCTGTAACAGTGCTAGAATGTGGCTTGTATCCTCTATTCTGTAACAGTGAGAGAATGTGGCTTATATCCTCTATTCTGTAACAGTGCGAGAATGTGGCTTGTATCCTCTATTCTGTGACAGTGCGAGAATGTGGCTTGTATCCTCTATTCTGTAACAGTACTAGAATGTGTCTTGTATCCTCTATTCTGTAACAGTGAGAGAATATGGCTTGTAACCTCTATTCTGTAACAGTGCTAGAATGTGGCTTATATCCCCTATTCTGTAACAGTACTAGAATGTGGCTTGTATCCTCTATTCTGTAACAGTGTTAGAATGTGTCTTGTATCCTCTATTCTGTAACAGTGCGAGAATGTGGCTTGTATCCTCTATTCTGTAACAGTGCTAGAATGTGGCTTGTATCCTCTATTCTGTAACAGTGCGAGAATGTGGCTTCTATACTCTATTCTGTAACAGTGCTAGAATGTGGCTTGTATCCTCTATTCTGTAACAGTGTTAGAATGTGGCTTGTATCCTCTATTCTGTAACAGTGTTAGAATGTGTCTTGTATCCTCTATTCTGTAACAGTACTAGAATATAGCTTATATCCCCTATTCTGTAACAGTACTAGAATGTGGCTTATATCCTCTATTCTGTAACAGTACTAGAATGTGGCTTATATCCTCTATTCTGTAACAGTACTAGAATGTGGCTTATATCCCCTATTCTGTAACAGTACTAGAATGTGTCTTGTATCCTCTATTCTGTAACAGTACTAGAATGTGGCTTGTATCCTCTATTCTGTAACAGTACTAGAATGTGGCTTATATCCTCTATTCTGTAACAGTACTAGAATGTGGCTTATATCCTCTATTCTGTAACAGTGCTAATGTTTTAAAATACATTCAAAGTGCTGACTCTCCAACACATGCCAGTGAATACCTTTCTATATCAAGCCTTTGATATACTATATAAGCTGGACTAGTGAAGATCTGGCGTAAAATAGGTCTTCAGCAACCCATGCTTGCTGTAAAAGGTGGCTATGTGGTGGCTTGTCATAAGAGGCGACCAATGGGATCCGGTGGTCAGGCTCGCTGACTTGGTTGATGCATGTCATGGTGAGATTGTTGAGTAGGTACTGAGTAGGACATGGGTACTCACAGGACTACCCCTAACTGTAGTTATTGTAGTAATTGATTTTGCATTTCTTTCTGACTATTGAAAGTTTGAATAAAGATAAAGCTTCAGTCAACTTTAGTGTATGCATTACCAGATCATTTAATACATGTATCTAAATAGAGCTCCAATAAAACCATTCCCAATTGGACATTTTGTACCAATACTTGAGATATACAGCGGTAGGGTGGGGTAATAGGGACTGTAACCAGGTAGTAAATTTGGACTTGTCCCAGCCCCATGCTCATGATGTCACTCGCTGGATTGTCTGGTCCAGACTCAATTAATATTGCTGGGTTCGGTGTAGAACCAAAAATTTATATATAACCATGACCTGGCCGGTAGAAATAATTGGTTCGAATCCCAGTTGCCCCCAAATACACTCTTTAAAAAAAGAAACGCACAGGTAGATTTTTAGTAAATTTATTGCACCTTTAAAAGTCGATATATTTAAGTTAATATCATAGATAGAAATATGAAATTTTGCAGCACAATAGTCACATGTTCTTGTTGTACAAAGGCATAGAACACTGTTCATTGTCATGACACATAAGGCCACATGATAGCGCTGAACTCAGTATCTCGTGTGACCGCCCCGGGCAGCAATCCTGGCTCTGCATCTCCTCGGCACTAAGTATACGAATTCTGTCATGCGGAATTCTGCGCCATTCTCCTTGTAATGCTTTGGCCAGTTGTGGGAGTGTCTACGGTGTGTTCCGACGACGTACACATCGATCGAGTTCATCAAAGAGGTGTTTGATTGGGTTGAGATCTGGAGATCTTGATGGCCAGGGCAGGAAGTTGATGTTGGAATTATGAAGGTAGTCTACCTTGACACAAACTGGCGGTCAATGATTGAAAGTAGGTGAGGTTGAAGAATTTGATTCATGTAGCGGTTTGCTGTCAAATTGCCCTGAACCACAACCAAGTCAGATCTCGTGGTGTAGGATATAACCCCCACACCATGACACTACCGCGACCGAAATTGTTGAATTCACATACACAATGTGGGGCAAAACGCTCATTTTGACGACGATAAACACGTTAGTGAAGAAGAAAATGTGATTCATAGCTAAACCACACTCTAACCAGTTTCTCAAATTCCAACTTGAAGGCTGAAAGGTATGGCACCAACGCAAGTGTCGCTGTCGATGGATCTGTTGCAAAATAGGGACGATAACTGGTCTTCTGGGTCAGATTCTGGCGAAGATGGTTCCTGAAAGTCTGGTCCGATATCCTCCTCAAACCAGGGATGCGTCCTGCAGTTTCCGCAGCTGTGGCATTGCGATGACATAGATGGAATAGTCAAATGTAGCTATCCTGTGCAGTGGTGGTAACTCTTGGTCGGCCGGTTCTCGGATGGTCTGCAGTGGAATTGATCTGTGTGTATCGGTCTCAAAGGCGGCAAATGGTGCTGTGGTGGACGTTGAGGTGGCGTGCAACAGAAGACTGTGATTCCCCTCTTTGAATACGCCCAATGGCGATGTTCTGTTCGGCAGCGCTGAGTCTCGGCATTGAATGACAAATTATTGGCGTATGGTTACCTTTTTATAGCCACTACCACGAGTAATGAATGCCATAACATGCACGTGCATTTGCTTTACTGTTTTCCTCCATGACATTTTTGAACAAGTGTGAAAACAATGCCGTTTAATACATTGCAAATCGGCAATGGCTGCATTTCGACTCACCGTTTGTCGAATATCAGGCCAACAACATTTTCCAATTAAAATATATCCAATTTATATACCAGATTTTTTGTGTAGTCAGGTTCAATGAACGCCATACTACCTGTGCGTTTCTTTTTTGGGAGAGTGTATGTTTCCAGGTTTGTCAGCACCATACCTGTGTTTGTCGGTGTCACCAAAGTGGTAATCGTCTGAAACCTGCATCGCTTAGGGCTTTCCTCCCACATCAAGCTTACACGCCATGATATAACTGGAATATTGTTCAGAGCGGCGTTGACCCAAAAGAATTCACATACTGAAGGTTTGTTTGTTTGTTGTTTAATGCTGCACTCAGCAATATTCCAGCTACACTCATTTAAGGTCATGGGGGACATTTGACCAATGGATTTAATTGATGTTCAGTCTGCAGATAATGGCTGGTGGGGGTGACCTTTACCTTATTTATGAGGGCACTGGACATTCATTCTCAGCTAAATGGTAAATTACACAATTGTGCGTAAAACTTGGTTAATGTTCTAGCTGAAAATATATTTTCTGTTACAAATCTTATAATGCAAGCTGAACGGATAAATGAATACACATGTTGATGTACTTCGTTCAGTTTGTTTCTTCACCAGTCTATATTGTAGCTTATAAATTCGTTCTCAGCCTTGTCTCCGTGCTCAGTGTGTGACTTTTCGACTGAATAATTAAAAATCAAGCACATTTTTACTGCACGTTACTTTTTCTTTTCATACATCATACATCATCATATATATACATCATCATAAAATATACTGAACAACAAAAGTTCCTGTGATATTGAATAAGATTTAATGCAAAGTTCGGCTTGCAACAGATAAAAGACTCCTGTAAGTGTTCAAATGGTTTAACTTGCCATACTGACCTCAGAAAATGCGTGATTTCATAAAAACAACAACACGAACATGCCAAAATGTCAATTTACAAATCAATAGCGTGTGTGTCCACCTCTGGTTGCAAGGCAAGCAACACATCTTCGTCTCATGGAGTGGACCAGG